TATTTTATTTAATCCCCATGGGGTTTTGATGTGATGCCACATTTGAGAATTTCTGGCCAAGCTTGTGCTTTCTCTATGACATGAAGGTTTTTCCTGATGTCAATCAGTGTGGCAGGAGGCACCTGGGCAAAGCAGTAACCTGGACCCTCTCTTTGCTTTTTGAATTCTCTTCTCAGGAGTTTCATTCTTTCTCATCAACTATAACTTCTCAGTGTGTGATTGTATATTGGGTGCTGTGGGGATACAGCATGGCAGAAGACGAACAAGATGTCTGTTCTCATGGAGCTTACAGGGAGACAGATAGCAAATCTATACTTACAGATGGTGATAGGTTGTGTGAAGGTAGCAGATAGATATGGCACTGAGACAGAAAATAACTGAGGTCAGAGAAGGCCTCTTTGAGGAGGTGACATTGAAGCCAAGACTTGAAGGTTGAGAAGAAGCCAGCCATGGGAAGAGTAGAAGCAAGGTCTTGCAAACCAGGGAGCACAGCTTGGCAAACAGACTGCAGGCTAGATTTCGGCCCACCCTATCCCTCAGCTGGATACCTCTGTGTAGAGAACAATCCGCACGATCTTATATAAGAGTAGTGGGTAAGGGGATTGTTCCAGCAGATGGAATTTCCAGTGTAGGAAAGAACAAGTATTCTAGAAATTATGAGACCAGTGCTAGGCAGACTAGATCACACAGGGTCTTATGGGGTAAGATAAGGGTTGGTATCTTATTTAATTCACAAGAAGCCACTGAAGGTAAACAGGAAGACTGAAAGGATATGAATTATATTCTTTAAAAATCTCTCCAGTTTTACAGAGAATCCACTGAAAGGGGAAAAACCCATTAGGAGCCTATTGAGTAGTCAAATCAGAAATGCTAATGGTTTGTATTATGATGATAGTATTAATAGCTGAAGAGGTGAGAAATTGATAGATTTAAGAGACATTTAGGAGATGATAAACAGATGGAATGGATGTAGAAAGGAATTAAAGAGGGCAACCAGGTTTCCAATTAAAGCAACTTGGTGGGTAGAAGTACCATTTCCTAAGATGGAAGAACAAGCAGAGAGGAGGAGCAAATCGAGAATGACATTTTAGCTACCTCAAGTTGGAGATATCTATGAGATGCTCAAGAGGAGATGCCAAGTCAAATTTGTTATAAACTTGGAAGAGGGTTTGAGACAGAGATATCAATTTGGAAATTATAATCATTGGGTTATTTTTCAAGGCCATGAAACAAAGATTAGATTACTGAGGGAAGGGAATATAGAGAGGCTAAGTCCCACAACAGAGCCCAGAGAAACTCCAGTTTGGGGGAATGAGGTAGAGAGTGGCCAAAGAGGAGAAAAATCAAGAAACCGTAATCCCACAGAAATCTTGAAAGGGACTGTTTAAGGAATGTGGGTAGGAATGGTTAAGCAATGTTTAGCATGGGTATGGGTGTGTTTAGAATGTGGGTAGGAATGTTAAGGAATGTTTAAGTAATGTGGGTAGCTGCTGCTGAAGGATCAAGAAAACCAGGAATAGAAAGTGACTAATGGTTTTAACCACATGGTAGTCATTGTGGGCCATAATTGGAGCAAGGGCACCAAACCGGAAAAATAAGAGGTGCTGGTCAGAGTATGGAGATCTTCAGATTTTTCAATCTTGAGATTTTGGAAATGATGTATATTTTCATTGAGAAAGGTCTAGGATCCTTGGCATGGTCCTGAGAGTAAGTGGATGAGGCAGGGTAGATGGCAAATCATTGGAAATGTAAAAGCTAAGAAACAGAAATGTTTGGGTCTTCAATGGCAAAACTGTCAAAGATTTGGGGTGGAGAGAAAGTGTAGTAAAACTGTGGTTACCAAGCAGTCTTTTTTTTTTTTTTTTTTTTTTTTTTTTTTTTTTTTTTTTTTTTTGAGATGGAGTCTTGCTCTGGCACCAAGGCTGGAGTACAGTGGCTGCGATCTTGGCTCACTGCAACCTCCGCCTCCTGGGTCCAAGCAATTCTTCTGCCTCGGCCTCCCAAAGAGCTGGGATTATAGGTGCCTGCCACCAGGCCCTGCTAATTTTTGTATTTTTAGTAGAGACAGGGTTTCATCATATTGGTCAGGCTGGTCTCGAACTCCTGACCTCATACTCTGCCCGCCTCAGCCTCTCAAAGTGCTGGGATTACAGGCGTGAGCCACCACACCCAGCCTAAACAGTCTTGAGCATGCTGATGCTCACAAATTTGTAGTGAACTTAGACAACCAATTTTGAATATTCCTATCTGCTTCATTTAGTGGCAAGGAAAAAGTAATATAATGCAGTTCAACCAGAGTTGGGGTTTTGCCTAGTGGATACGATAGACAGCTAAGAGGAGAAAGGGAGTGGAGTGACTTTAACAGTGAGTAGATATTGGTTTCCTATTGGTGCTGTAACAAATTACCACAAACTTTATTGCTTAAAATACAGATTTATAATATTAGAATTTCAGAGGCCAGAAGTGTCATTGAGCTGAAATCAAGGCGTAGGCAGAGCTGTATTCTTTCTGGAGATTCTAGGGGAGAATTTGTTTAACTTTTCCAGCTTCTAGAGCCTGCCCACATTCACTGGCTTATAGTTCCCTCCGTCCATCTTTAAAGCCAGCAACATCAGGCCAAGTCTTTCTCATGCTGCCATATCTTTGATTCCCTCTTCTAATTCCCTCTCCCACTTTTAAGGACCCTTGTGATTGTATTGGGCCTATCTGGCTAGTCCAGAATAATCTTCCTATCCTAAAGTCAATTGATTAGCAACACTAATTTCATCTGCAACCTTAATTCCCCTCTGCCAGGTAAGCTAACAAATCCACAGGGTTCTGGGGATTAGGACACAGGCATCCTTGAGGAGGCCAGCATTCTGCCTGTGATGATAACAACGCATCATGGATGGAATTTAAGCTGGATAAGGAGGTAAATGAAGAATATAGTAGGAAGGCAGAGTGAAAAGGTAGTTAGGTCAGCAGATTGGGGAAATAATCTGATGGGATTGAAACACTGTAGCAGTAGAGAAGAAATTTTCTAAATGGTGCCATTTCTGGTAATGGAAAAGGCTAGTGTAGGATCATGGGGGTAAGTATCTGATGTAAGGCTGTAAAAAAGATCAAGTGGAATTCCAGGATGTGGTATGAGTCATCCCTGTGGATGTTAAAGTCACCAAGAGTGATGAACAAAATTCAGCGTAGGAAGGAAGACTGAGCATGCAATGAAAGGCATAAACCCCACAAGCTAGGTGAGCCTGCAAGTGAAAGGAGTCTGTGGTGGTACAGACTTGCCCAGAATCAGGGCCCAGTGGGGCTGCAGTTCCTGCTCAACAGGAAGGATGGAGCCTGACATGCAACTCCGTTCCCAGGGGCTGAGCTCAAGGTCACAGAGGCTGTGCAGTGACTGACCCCTTGGGATGTGGAAGTCAAGATCAAATTCCAAGAGAGACCAGCATTCCAGACTGTCCCCTGCTCCTCCCGTGGCTTCCACAATCAGCAGGAAGTTCTGGGCTTGAGGACAGTGGGCTCTACCCCGCCTGGAGGGAGATGGCACTCCTGCGCTGGTGTTTCTCTTCGGTGAGCACCTGCAGCCTGCTGTGGCCCTGACACAGTAGACTAGGAGGCCAGCAAGGGACCAAGTCACTCCCTGTATGTCGGGGGTGGGGGCAGGGTCTCCCCTGAGGGGTGAGATCCCTCATTGTCCCCAGCCTCACAGGAGAATCACACTAGACCGCAAGAGCAGAAATCTCACGCAAGGCGGAGGAGAGGATCCCAAGAAAGAAAGGAAGAGGGGATTGCAAGGCCCTTTGTAGACAGTCAAGCCCTACACAGGTAGAAGAGAAACACCGTTCACGGTGATAGTGATTCCAAAGCCCTTTGATTCATTCAGCAAACGTTTACCAAACACTGACTTAGTGCAGAGCCCTGTGGCAGCCACCGTGGGTGTTAGAAACCTGAAGCAGGCCTGGACCTTCCCCCTAAAGGGCCTGTGCTTTCTCAGAGGAGCTAAACCATGTCTACACATATCACTGCCATTCAGGATGGCCTCTGATGAGGGTGGTGGGGGGCAGATATAGAAAAGGAGGCTGCCTGGAGGTGGTGAGTTTTGAGCCAGGCTGTGAAGGAGCTCTTTGGGCTGGTCTTCCAGGGGTGTTCCCTGTCATCCCAACATTAAGTGGAAACCTCTGCAGATTATTGTGGCTTTAGGTCTCTCCCTCTGTCCCACCCTGACCCTGATGGTGGGTCTGCAAATGGAAAGGGCTTGGTCACTTCTGTTGACTCTTAGAGGGAAGTAGAATGGGGAAAGAGAACACCTTTCCCTAAGAAAACCTGAAGTCCTGTGTTGTGCCAACTACCTGGCTTGGCAAAGATCGGATGTCATGGGAGATAAAGGAAAGGCAGCAACTACACACCAGAGATAAGGGAGTGTGACATCCCGGATCAGTCTGCATCTACGGGCAGCAGGCTCAGGCAGATAGCCAAGGCTATGGAGATTGTTCCATGGACTTCTGGCTCATGTACTTGCCATGAAGAGAGCTCCAGTGTGGGAGCTGAGAGGATAGTTTCCCTCAGTTTCACTTCAGGTAGTTTCACTTCACTTACGGAAAGCACACCTGCTCAACTTTTTCCTTTCTCCTTTATTTGCTGGTGCTAACCAGTTCCCCCTCCCGGGGACTTGGAAACAACTGGTAAGATACCTTACTGCCACTACAACAGAACCATCTCCCCCAGGATCTGCCTCACTCCTTGACAACAACTTACTCCATACTGATGTGCACTTCTTTGCCTTAGAAACTTCAAGATTCACAGCAGTTATCACATTGCATTTCACACTCACTGACAAGTGGACAAGGCAACTGAAGAGGAAATGATGGAGTATACACTGGAGTTTCAGCAAATATATCAGAACATTGACACTGTATGCAGCTGGGAGGCCTCAGCTTCCAGAGATCTTAGCTAACCTCCACCCCAAAGAGGGGCACAGGAATGATGGGGAAAGAGGTACTAGGATGTAAACCATGAGCAGTCTGCTTTGGATTTCATCAGCCAAACAAGCAAGAGTTACAAATGACAGTTGTAAGGAGGCATGGCATTGGTACGTGAAAGGCACTCAATAAATTTGGTAAATGAATAAATAAATTGCTTAATGAATAAAGTTGATCACTTTAGGTAGGAGGTGAAGAAGATCGGATGGCACTGACCAGGCAAATACAGAAAACAATGGTGGTGCAAAGACAATTACGTGTTCCTGTGGAAGGCAGGAAACCTACTTAGTAATAGTAATTATATAGTAGCCTTGATATTGCTTCTGGGCCTTGCAGAACCTAAAATGTTTCCTCTCTGGCCTTTACAGAAGAAGTTTCCCCAACCCAGAGTGCCTCCCCATCGGACCGCTAGAGTGTTGGTAATAATCGTAAAATTAAAATGGCAGGACTTGTGTGGGCCTAAACGGTAGCCCGGGACACTAAAGCCTCAAAGAACAGGTAGAGTTCTGAATTCGGAGTTGTCATAAAGGTTAAGGGCCTGGATCGTTCATTGGGTGCAGAGCATGTCAATCTGAAGTTTTCAGCAAATGAGCTTAGAGCGCACTGAAAAAGCTGAGAGGCCCTTGGAAACACTTCCGGTTCCGCCCCCTGTCGCCTGCCTACGGGAATCTTTCCCGCGTTGTCTAAGTCCTCTCAGGCCAGCCTTGGCGGGAGGCTTCTTGGGGTTGGTTCCCTGCCCTTCCCACCTTAGGGTGACCTCAGAGACAGACTTTTATTCCCTCAATAAGGAGACAGACTCGTATTCCCTCAGCAGCCAGCCTCTCGCCTCTCCTCAGCCGCAGCCACCGTCTTCACCGTCGTCACGTCAGCCTGGTCGGCACCCCAGTTGAGGCGCTGACCGTCATGTCTGCCACAGGGGATCCAGACCTAACCCAAGGGGACCAGGAGGCCCCAGTGAGCCAGGAGGGAGTGCAAGTTGAGATGGGTGGAGCTGGTGATGGGGAGGGTGGCGACTCTGGCCCCAACAGTGGCGACGTGGTGCCCACAGCTGAGGCTGAGGAGGCCGGAGCTGGTGACGGGGAGGGTGGCGACTCCGGCCCCAACAGTAGCGACATGGTGCCCACAGCTGAGGCGGCCGGAGATGCAGGGCCCATGGGAGGCCTTAGGGAGGAGGAGGGTGAGCAGGTGGCAGACATGGCTGCAGCCCTCGGGAGCTGGAGCGTCGAGGAGGAATCCTACTTTGGGCTGGTAGAGGTGGAGGTGGAGATGGAAGAGGAGTCGGAGTCAGATGAGGAGGAGGAGGAAGAGGAGGAGGAGGAGGAAGAGGTGGAGGGAGAGGAGGACGAGGAAGAGGAAGAGGAGGAGGACAACTTCCACTTGGCCGCGGGTGCCCGTCGCTACCCCATAGGAGGCTTTCGCGTGGAGTTCCTGGACATGGTCCACAACCTTCTCCACCGCATCTATCACAACGACCACATCCTGATCGGGATCCGTGGTGGCCGCCTGATGGAAGGGCCCTGCCCTGTGATGCCCAGCTCTGATGAGCCCCCGCTGCTGGTGTCCGAGAGGCTGGGTGCAGGGGCCGGGGCCCCAGAAGGCGATGACCTGGGCCTGATCGAGGAGGCCGAGTTGGTCCCAGAGCCTGAGGTGCCAGCAGACCCGGCCGAGACGGCCAGGGAACCCGCAGAAGAGCCCGCGGAGGAAGCTGAGGAGGAGAAGCCTGCAGGGGAGGAGCCCGCAGAGGAAGCAGTGCCCAAGGGTGAGGAACAGGCTAGCCGCACTGGCGGGGAGGCGGGGATCTGTACGCCCGAGGTCTCTGGGCAAGGTCACAGTGCGGGCACAGCTGGTAAAGTTGGTGGCCAAGCGGGGGTCGGGGCCTCAGGTGGTGAAGTGGGGGTCAGGGCCCTCCTAAAAGTTAAGGCCGAATGTGTCCCAATGAGTTGAAGTCCAATTCTCTAACGACCTCTATGGTTTTGAGAAAACATGCTGCCCTCTACCAAACTTTTTGATAGGAGATCTGAGCTCATCGATCTCAGAGCAACCAGTGGTGGAGGAACCAGCCACAGAAGAGAAGCTGAAAGTGGCTGCAGAGGAGGAACCCTCTGCACAGGAACCGGCCGCAGAGGAACCAGCCTCAAAGGAGACCGTGGCTCCTGAGGGTGAGGAACTGGCTAGCCGCAGCCACGGGGGCCGGGGCGGTGCGGTGGGGAGGCAAGAACAGGTGTGCCCAAGGGCTCTGGGCCAGCGCTGTGGTGGTGGGCACAGCTGGTGAAGCAGGTAGTGAAGTGGGGGTTGGGACCTTCCTGAAACTTAAGGCCGAATGTGTCCCAATGAGTCAAAGTCCAGTTCTCTAATGACCTCTATAGTTTTGAGAAAACATGCCATCCTCTACCAAACTGTTTTTGATAGGAGATCTGAGATCTGAGATCTCGCAGGAACCAGCCACAGAGAAGGAGCAGGAAGAGAAACGAGCTGCAAAGGAGGAGCCCGCAGAGGAGGAGCCCGCAGAGGAACTGGCCACAGAGGAAGCCGCGGCCCCCGAGGGTGAGGAACAGACTAGCGGCAGCGGCCAGGAGGCAGGGAGGCGGGACCGTGCACCAGAGGGCTCTGTGCAGGGCCGCGGTGCAGGCACAGTTGGTGAAGCGGGTAGTAAAGCGGAGGTCGAAGCCCTCCTGAAAGTTAAGGCCGAAATGTGTCCCAATGAGTTGAAGCCCATTTCTCTAACGACCTCTATAGTTTTGAGAAAACATGCTGCCCTCTACCAACCTGTGTTTGATAGGAGATCTGAGATCATTGGTCTCAGAGGAAGCAGCCGCAGAGGAACCGGCGGCGAAGAAACTTGCCACGGAGGAAGCGGAAGATAAACCAGCTGCAGAGGAGGAGCCTGCTGCAGAGGAACCCGCCGCAGAGAAATCGGCCGCAGAGGAACCGGCGGCGGAGGAACCGTCCACAGAGGAGGAGCGGGAAGAGAAACCCGCTGCAGAGGAGTCTGCAGAGGAACCAGTCACCCAGGAGGCCGCGGCCCCCAAGGGTGAGGAACTGGCAAATGGCAGTGGTGACGACGAAGGAACACGGGCGCCCAAGGGCTCTGGGCAGGACCGCAGTGCGGGCACAGCTGGTGAAGCGGGTGGTGGTGAAGTGGGGGTCGGGGCCCTCCTGAAACTTAAGGCCGAATGTGTCCCAATGAGTCAAAGCCCAATTCTCTAACGACCTCTATGGTTTTGAGAAAACATGCCACCCTCTACCAAACTGTGTTTGACAGGAGATCTGAGATCATCGATTCCATTTGCAAGCCTACAGATGAATGGCCAAGTAGATAGGGGTTTAGGAGGGAGCTTGGCAGGAAATAGAAGGGATGCCCAAAAGAAAAGAACAGGCAAATGGCACACATCCTTTTTGGTTCGTGGCTTTTCTTAGAAAGTTGATCTCACAAATAATTAAGTGATACAGGAGCCCTTGGTAAAAATGAAACATTCAGGGGGTTGAGGAACCAATGAGCTTCACCATAGAATTTGTCTTTTGAGGCAACAAATATTTTCCCAACAAAGTTCTGACCAAAACACTTAGAATATGATCAGACCTGATGATTCTGATCTCTTTTTCTTTAAAGAACTAGAAATAATCAGCAGTTTTGGGTGGAAGATTTACTGGAAAAAAGGGAAATAGTGTCACTATGGAAATGATCAAGTGGCAGCAATGTGAGAGCCATGGAACTGTTGTGAAAACCAGTAGGAAGATGCCTAGCTATTCCTTTCTTAGTTAAATCTATCCTCCTGCTCCTGAGGCTGGAGTACTGCATGCTAGTTATAAATTAGGCTATATTTTCTGTGAATGTCTAGTCCCAACATCTGTATTATTCTTTACTAAAGAAGTCACTAAATATCAATACGAAAAGTGGGATGAAGAGGTCCAAGGTGCGGCAGGCGAGGAAAAAAAAGAGCAACAAAAAGAGGATGCACAAGACAAGAGGAAGAGCTCCAAAGGCGCAGCAGAGGGGAAGCCGAGGAAATCCAGGTGTGTGTGTATAGCTTTCAGAGTCACTCCACTATTCCTGGCATTTACCTGTTACTGACAGTTTTATTATTATTTTTTAGATTCCCAGTAAACTAAGAAAAAGTTTTAAATTAGTTTAAAAATTCAATTTAACTTACTTAAATATGAACTGCAATGTGGTCTGAAATATACTTCATGGCTACTCATTTGTTCATGTTGAGGTCTTTTTTCCTCTAGCTGCAAGACTATTAACAAGTGGCCAATGTATCAGACCTACTACCTAAGACCAATATTTGTGTACAAAACAGTTGCCAGACACAGCAGTCGCCAGACGCAGCAGCTAACTTGGCTGGGCCACACATTAGTTGGGCCTTCATTACTTAGCCACAGAAATGCAGGCTCCCATGGTAACTAGGAGACAACTCAATGCCCTTTACAAAGTGACTAGTTACAAATAGCAAAGAGCTAAGAATCGGCCAGGCGCGGTGGCTCAAGCCTGTAATCCCAGCACTTTAGGAGGCCGAGGCGGGTGGATCACGAGGTCGAGAGATCGAGACCATCCTGGTCAACATGGTGAAACCCCGTCTCTACTAAAAAAAAAAAAAAAAAAAAAAAAAAAAATACAAAAAATTAGCTGGGCATGGTGGCACGTGCCTGTAATCCCAGCTACTCAGGAGGCTGAGGCAGGAGAATTGCTTGAACCCAGGAGGCAGAGGTTGCGGTGAGCCGAGATCGCGCCATTGCACTCCAGCCTGGGTAACAAGAGCAAAACCTCCGTCTCAAAAAAAAAAAAAAAAAAAAAAAGCTAAGAATTTCAAGTAGGACCACATTTAATGACTAATACCTAAATATTTGTTTAGCTCTATATTTTTGTATTTTATGTGACGAAAAGAATGTATGTAATTAAGTCAAAGTATATCTGTCTTTGAGTATATTTCAATGGTTAACAATTTTTCTTTTCCTTTTTGCATTTTCACAGTTGTATATTTCATAACAGCTTCTTTCCCATGTGGTAGATATGGAAACCAAGGGTCTGGGAGGGTAAAGGAGTATCATTTGTGGAACTAGCACAGGCTGTTAAAGCTCGAGAGATTTATTTAAATCCCAGAATTGCTTCTCACATAAAAACAACAACAACAAGCTTTTCTGGTGCTAGGCAGACAAGGTTGGTGTGATCATTTGACTGGAACCAGTTCCACAAGCACCCTAATAACTAAGCTTGCGAGTTACAAAAAAAAAAAAAAAAAAAAAGGTGTTCTTCTCTATTTGTTTAAGACACAGCACATAAATGTTGCAGATATACACAGAGTTGACCATTTTCTTCTATTTAGAAAGTCGGTGCTGGTTAATGTTATACCATTGTTTATTTTTTTTTTTTTTCATTTCATCCTGAAGTTGGGAGGAATAGAAAGATGAAAAAAGAAAACTCTGTTGTTCATTGTTTTTATTTTATTTTTTTCAGATCCCTGTGAGAATTCATAACACGTATTATTCCAAAGTTCGTTACCTCAAAAGTAATATGTAGTGACATCTAAGTTTTATCTTTCACGAATGTATTTGACAATATTTGTTCAAGTTAAAAATAAAAGTTTGTTTCAAATGAATAAACTGAAACATGGCCAAAAATAATTAAAATGTCAAGTTTAAAACAATTTTTGAAAGGAGAGAGATGGGGCTCAAGTCTTTAGAGCTGTGTTGTCTACTACTTTAGGCACTAGTAATGTTGTGGCTAGTAAGCACTTGTAATATGGCTAGTCTGATTTAATATGTGCTGTAAGTGTGAAAATAATATTGCATATCTTACTAATGATTGTTACACTGGTTACATATTGAAATGACAATACTTGAAATAAAATGAAATATTAAAGTTTGTGTTGGTTTCTTTTTGTTTTTTAATGTGGCTACTAGAACATTTAGAATTACCCATGTAGATCACATTATATGTTTATTGGACAGTGCTGCTCTAGAGCATGGTTTTGAAGAAAACTTCACGGATGGCCCAGGTTGCCTGGAGGCCACATGGTATTGCTGAGCTTGGGCCCAGACTTTGATCTGGAGCAGTGGTTCTCCACGTTTGGTCCCCCAAACAGCGTCATCAGCATTTCCTGGGAATTCTCAGACTCCACCCAAGACCTATGGAATCTGAAAATCTGGGGTGGGGTCAGCAAGCTGTGTTTTAACAAGTCCCCCAGGGGCTTCTGATGAACACTAAGGTTGGAGACCCACTGGTTTCAAGCAACAGAGGAAGAAGCTGTGCTTCACCTCCTGTCAGACCGGCCTTAATTCACTGGCTAGGGGCTGTTTCAGGTCAACCGAAAGGGACAGCAAGGGCTGGGCTGAGGAGGAGACTAGAACTCACGGGGGCTGAGGCCTAGAGAGGAAAATGCATAAAGGAAAAAGTCGGTCCAAAAGGACACAAACTTGATACCATGCATATGACTTCTAAGAAAACATACTAATGATCGCCATAAATTCATTGTGGGTATATAGAGAGAGACCAAAAAGTGTGCATGCAAGAGATGGATACAAATGAAGCATACAGAAAGGTGTGCATTTGAAAGACAAGCAAGCACTTTTGAGACTGTGGTTACCTCTCAGGGAAAGAAAGGGAGGGGCATTCAGGAAGAGAAGGCTCCCCACAGGCATCAACTGTATTTGTGGTTACATTGCTTAAGCTGAATAGTAGATACATGGATGTTTGTTTATAGTAAAGTTTTCTACAACTTTGTGTAGGTCTGAAATATTTCTAAAGCGGGAGGGGGAAGGGGAGCAGTTCTTCCCACATCACTGGGGCAGGAGTCAGAATTCTAGAACCCAACCTGGCCTGTGAGGTCATTATGAAGGTATGGTTGTCATAATGATAACTGTAGATAAACCATTAAATAAAACATGCTGTATTCGTTGATTTAAACATTTCAAATATTTAGACATATGGTATGAGGATCCCAAGTTGAACTCTTGTTCTGAAACCTGAAAATGTTACAGGTGGGACAGGCTCAATATCTAGCTGATAAATCCTTTCCCTTCCTCCCTCCATGCCGCTTTGTTACCTGAGTACAGTGGGGGCCCTTGTTTCTGAAACGTGCTTGTTTCAGTAGCCCATCTTGCTATAGAACTTGGACTTAGTCCCTGACCCAGGCTAGACTGCAACCACCAACCACTGTGTCCCTTCTACTCACCCCCAACTGCACCCCTCTCCATTCGCTCTCTTTGCTCTCCAGGCGTTCATACACGAAACCTAATCGCACTTCTCCCCCATACCAAATATCAGTGCCCACCTGGAGGCCATCAGCTTGGTCAGGCACACCTGTGTGGAGGCCCTTTATTCGCAGCACCACCTCTTAAGAACATTTTACTTCTCTGACAACCTTCAGCTTTGAATTGTCAATATCCTATTTGATTTCCTGCCCCATGTCACAGACAGAGATGGACTACAGAATAGGCTTTATTGAATTTATTTGCTTTGCATACATCACAAATCAAGAAAGCTAAAGAAGTAGAAAACTTGTCAGAATTTGCTCTTAGCATTTAAAAAGATCTTAATCTTTTCATTTAAAAACAGAGCTTTGTTGTTAACTGTGGAAAAGAAATTGTTATTGGAGAGTTCTCAAGAGTGAGAATAACTGAATACAGGTTCACTGTGAAAAAGGGAAGGGAGGTATAACAGCTAATCTACCAGGAGTACTGGGATAAAGGGCATCTACCTTAATATATCGTTCACTATGGGAATACAAAATAAGTGAAATTCACTCAGTCAGAAACCTAGCATTATCCAAATGGCAAAAGCACAGTATCAGGAAAAATAGATGTTATATAAAGAAAATGCAAAATCTAGCATGTAATTGTACCGTGTCATGTTATACCAGCATCAACAAAATCCAGCACCAAGTGTTTAGCTCTGATACCTCAGTGCCTCTCTGGATTTTTTTTTTTTGTATGGGGCCGCACCCCACTCAGAATATAAAGGCACAGTCAGGTGCCCAGGCCTGCATCTCTGTTTAGCAAAGCAGCACAGTGTCACAGAGGCAGACACAGTCATAACTATACTGAGAAGTTACTTCTGGGTCTCCTAGAAAAAATGAGCTAGATTTACTGCCCAGGCATCCAAAGGGAGCTCTCCTTTAGTGTTTGGTGGGTTTGGGGGATGGGATGAAGGGGAAGACATAAAAAGGAAGATTTAACTAACTTCTAGTGAACCTAGATGAGATTCTGGGGTGGTCTGCATATCAGAAAGCCAGCCAATTAAGGAACCGGCTCTGGGGTGAAAGGTGCCTGCATCTTCACCCTCAGGAGCTGTTAATGGAGGCAGTGCTGCAAAAGAAAAAGGCTGCGTGGCAAGATGGAAAGGGAGGCATCAACATGTGCTGGGCTACTTGCCCCCTGCCCTCATGGCTGACCATCCCTCTCATCCTCTTTCTCACTCCTCCTTTTTGGCCTTCCCTCTTCTCCGTGGCTGAGGGATGAGTGGGTCACTGGAAGGTAGGGTCTCTCCAGCCTAGTAACTTTTGAGGTGTGTGCCTCTAGGAATGAGAGTGGGAAAAAACAGATTTACTCAAAGCTTCCAGTTAGCAGAAAGTTCATTTCTCTGTGGCTTTTGGATTACACTCTTGCTTTGGGCTAAAACCTTGTGAAGCAAAGACAGCTGAGGAGAAAGGACAAAAAGCTCCATGGAGTTCTACACCTTAAGGCTGGAACCAGAGAGGAAAGAGCTCCAGTGGCCCAGATGTGCATCAAGGTGGTAAGCTTGCCATCTGCTTGATGGAAAGTACAGCTTTTGGCATCTGTAGAACTCTAATTTCAATAGGGTCTTCAGTGCTTAACAGGATATATATGACAGGCAGTGATTTCTGTGCAATCAGAGGGGGTCACAGTAGTATTGGGATGAGAAGCAAAACACTGATGGACTAACCATCCAGAAGAGTAAGATAATTTCCAAGAAGCATTCTGCCTCATAGGGAGGTGCTGCAGCCAGGCCTGTGACAGGTCGACATGGGCATGTGCCAAGAGGGAGCTTTGTGTAGGTGTTCTGTATGTTACTATCACTCAAGGTGAAAGCATCAGGGGCCCCCAGGGACACAGGGAAGGTGTTTCAAGGGGTGGTAGGCTGATTGGAGAACTGGCTATGCAGAAATTTTCTTGGAGACCCAGAATTTTCACTTCCACCACCTCTTCTAGGAGCCTTTGCAAAGCTTAGAGCAACAACCAAATAATTGCAGCATCCATCTAGGCTCATAAATCCTAAAGGCCAATCTTTGCGTCAAATCATCTGAATGTTTCCGTTAGAATCACTTTATTTGGCTGAGAGAAACGACAATTTTTTAGTTGCTCCAACAAAATGTTTTTGCTTTATCCTTTCTAAAGCACATTGTCCAAAGTTAAAGACTTTGCAATTCTACAGCAGTGCAAATGTTTCCCATAGTTTTAATAGAGAAAATGCTGGGTTTCTGGATGCTGGCAGTGACTATATGGAAGGCGAAGCATTCATGGCATTTATTTCATTCAAATGATTATGCTTTAATTCGCATTTCTAAGGCTATGTTGCTTAATAAATTCTTATTTTGCTTAATAAATTCATACTTTGCTTAATACTTATTTTGCTTAATAAAAGTGGCCACACGGTGAAAAGATCACTACATAGAATTAATACGGTTATTAGCAATTATCATTTAAAATGCTGATGCTCCATACAAGAGCTCTTTATTCTGTGGTCTCTGCCAGATGGCTCCACGCTTTGGCTTTCTTCCTGGCCAGGGAGAACCAGACAGGCTCAACTGGCTCACCTGGCTTTTGGAACTTGGCCGGGAGAGTTGAAGATCGTTTAGTTTCTTTTTCCATGGCAGGCATTTGCAGTGTCTTCTGAGCCTCAAATCCAGCTGGAACCAAAGAAAATAACACACAAGCAATAAAGAACCCCAGAGATACTTGGGTATGTTGTTTATGGAATGACCTAAAACGTTTCTTCCTTTAGGTTTCCTCTGATTCCCCTGCTCTAGTGCTTTATAGACTCTTCTCCCTTTGGTGCCAGACTTCTAAAAGTTAGTGCCTATGTGATGCCAAGATATGTCAAAGGGGTAACATCAACATGGCTATGGCCACAGGGCCCTGGGTATCAGAAGGCCTGGGAGGTAGTACTTATGGCTGTAACTGCCAATCTTCGTGTGGTTATTAATGGATTGTCTTACATCTTCGAACTGAGACCAGAGGGAAACATATCTTACCTGCTCAGTTTCGAAAATTTCACATAAGGTAATGTTATTTGTGTTTTGCATGAAGCGAATTGATTGATGACTCAATAGATGCAAGCAGTAAAATTTGATGGTAAATAATACTGTACTAACCCAACTACCCCATCCAAGCAGACTATTTTCCCTATTCCTAATTCCACTCCCTCCCTCATCCTGCTTATGGTCAATTTACCTAGCGATTTAGACTCAACCAGTGGTTCTCAATCCTGGCTACACATTAGAATCACCTAGGGCTTTTTAAAAAAATACCAATGCCCATGGTGTTTCCAGAAGCAAATGAACTAGAATCTCTAAGGATAGAGCCAGGATGATCTGCAACTTTTTAAAAAGCTCACCAGGTGATTCTGATGCAGAGTGACAGTTGTCAAACACCTGATAGTAGTATAGTACCCATGAAGCCATTAATAGCTATGAGCAAGTCAACTGCTGCTATTTCATGGCCAGACAGTGGGTTCCTGAATTCCTAGTCTAATTTCTTAAAGATGGTTCAATATAAATCCATCCTCCCCTCCCCTGCTCCTGCTGAAAAAAAAATTCTCTCTAGCACACAACTCTTTCTGGTGAGATCACATTCTATTATATCCCAGCGGAGTATTCCTCTCAGCTGTCAACATTTCCTCAACACTTACACATCCCTGCTCAGAATACAGAGAAGCTGAAACAAGCCTACTAAATAATTTAAAACAATTTAATACCATTGAGCCTTTAGAGTGAATTATTTTCAACAGTTTCATTGGAGATGTAGAAAGTGAGAAAATACCACTTTGCTATGAACTGAAAAGTGACTCGGTACTTTCCTCTTGCATACCCAGCCAGAAGAATGTTTCAGTGAGTGACCACAGTTTTGTGCCTAGACAGCTTCTTTGATGAGCCAAAATACTGGAAGACCCTATACACTGGGACTTGAGTAAGTCAAAATAATTAGATTTTCCTAAAATAAGCTAATATCTCTATCTAATTAAAGAGCCATGCGAGAAATCATTAAGCTGACTTGGGAGATAAGAGACAAGTATTATCTGAGCTTAAAATTGCAAAAGTTTCAAAACATTCTGCCAGGGCTGTTTTTTGAGAGATCGGAATGTATGCTTTTACCTGATTTTATAGGCTTAAGTGGCTTCATCTGTGCTTTCTTCTCCTGTTTGTAGACATTGGAAGTGAAAATCTTTTTAGCTTGGTTTTCATTTGCAGGGGCAGCTCCCTTTAACACAAAAATGAAAACAGAAAGCTTGTTAAGTTTTGACATTAAAATGGCAGATTGCTTATTCAGAGGGCCATCAAGTGCAAGCCCTGTCCTGGGTACTATGAGTTCAACAGTATCCAAAAGGAAAGATTAGAGATATAGAGATAGATACGGAGAGAAGCAGCATTGAGCATTTTTGCTTAACATTTACATTCACAAAACCTAAACTGGCTCAAGTTTACCACCTTTCAGACTAGAAAAAAAGAACTGTCTAACTTTACAAATAGTGTAAGCAGGTTAACAGGAGAATTATTTAACTTGAGAACAACCTTTTCCTTAACACTTTACTAGCACTTAACAGCACGCTAAGTTGCAAACTTAATAGCTTAATAATAGTTGCAAACAAATCTGATCAACTCATTGAAGTGAGTTCCATAAGATTTCTACTTTTCAAAACTAGCTGACATATGACTTGAAGGACTCCTCACATTAGAAAGCAATATAATTGTAGGTCTTTCGAAAATTTTGCAGTTTGTTCTTTTCAAATTAACCTCTTCATAATTGGTCTAAATTAATGAATTTATAAACACTAACTTATCCCTCATGACAAAAGCTTTAACCAGGCTGAGAGCAATTGCCTATAATCCCAACACTTAGTGAGGCCCAGGTGGGAGGATCACTGGAGCCCAGGAGTTCAAGACTGGCCTGGGCAACATAGTGAGCCCCATCTCTACAAAAAATTTAAAAATTAGCTGGACATGGTGGCACACGTCTATAGTGCCTATGGTCACAGCTACTGTGGCGGGGATGAAGGGGAAAGATTGTTTGAGCCTAGGAGGTTGACACTACAGTGGGCTGTGATTGCGCCACTGAGCTTTAATAAAGCTGGGCTTTACCCCCATATGATCCTGCCCCCATGTAAATACTAATGATGAAAAAGAAAAGACCTTTAAAGCAAAGAGTTAAACAGGTCCTCGCATGGTCATTCAACAAATTTAGTAAGCACTTAAAAGTATAGGAACTTAAACATATCTCTTGATATGTGAATTTAGTATGTTTCCTTAAGTCAGTTTTCTGCAGTTTTGATGAGTGGGGAGAAAGGCATCCCATCATGTCTTATCCACATGTGGTAGTTACCTTAGTTCACTACGTCACATTTTTTAACTTACAGGTAGGTGCCACACCAAACCAAATCAATATATAGAAATCCAAACATCAAACACAGAAAGGGAACTTGTGTACTGATATGGAAAAGGGCCTAGAAATAAAATGTTAAATGTAAAAAATAGTATTTATAGTTTGATTCCGTATATATACCGATAGGCATAACATATCTGTAAAGATAGTCAACTCTTACCCCAGTGATTACCTTTAGGTATTTTTTAAGCTATGAGGATGCAAAGGCATATGATACAATGGACTTTGGGAACGCCAGGAGAAAGGGTGGGAAGGGGGCGAAGGATAAAAGACTATGAATTGGGTTACAGTGTATACTTCTCGGGTGATGAGTGCACCAAAATCTCACAAATCACCACTAAATAACTTACTGATGTAAACAAATACTACCTGTTCTCCCAAAACCTATGGAAATAAAAAATTAAAAATATAGTAAAATGACTTACTCCTTATTTCTCAACCAATTTGTGGAACCTTGCTTTAGAATATTGAGGGCAGGACTTGTTTTGTAGATTCTCTCTATATTCATGACTTTGCACAACCTCTCCCCTACTTTTGAGACAGAGTCTCTCTCTGTCATCCAGGCTAGCGTGTAGTGGCGTGATCATGACTCACTACAGCCTCCATCCCTGGGCTCAAGCAATCCTCGCACCTCAGCCTCCCCAGTACCTGGGAATATCAGGGCATGCCATCACACCTGGCTATTTTTTTGTATTTTTAGTAAAGACAGAGTTTTATCATGTTGCCCAGGCCGATCTTGAACTCCTGAGCTCGAGCAATTCACCTGCCTTGGCCTCCCAGAGTGCTGGGATTAAGCAGGAGCCACTGCACCTGGCCTGCACAAACCCTTTAAGAGCGTAAAAGCAGGGCACGTTTGTATAAATGCAAAGCAAGTCTTTTTCCCCGAAGAGTCTCCCTGTCTTGATTAATGCTCCCAAAGAGATGGGGAGCTGCATGTCAGCAAAGTTCCCAAAGGAAGCCTAATCAGTGATTCCAGTGACCTTTTTGGAGTGTTTCCTAGGCTGCCCCAGTTCCTACCCCATATTTAGGCTCCTTAGTTTCAGCCTTGGCTCCAGCTCCGCTCTTGGTTTTCAGCTCTTTCATAGGAATCTGAGCCTTGAAACCCATCTGCTTCTGCTTTGCCATAGTTACCCAAGCTGGCTCTGAGACGGCATAATCTGACTGTTGACCAGCAGGCTTTCCTGAGAAAGGAATGAAAGAAGTTAGAACTGAAGCAAGGCAGGCAGGGTCCTGAACCTGGCTAGGACTTACCCACAATCATATTCCAAATGGGAACTTGTTGCTTGCCAAAGGAAAATAAACAGATATCAAGCAGAGAAGCCCCCCCACTCCACCATTTTGGGCCCACCCTACAGCTTGGCAAGGCAGAAATTCCTTGGGTAGTAAAGAAGCTGACTTAAAAGTGGGCATACTGTCCCTTTATTGGACCTTTCCCTTCCCTTGTCCGTCCCTCTTCCCATCTGCAAATCAGGGCAAGACAACATTTGCCAGGTGGGTTGGGAAAATTCCAAGGAGGCCAGAGGCTCTGGCCATTGATGGCTTTCCTCTAACTCCAAGAAAAATCTTTGAGTATTTATTACTTCATAGTCCCTCGCACAACTGTGTGGTTACATGAGTGTGGTTACAGGAATATAAAAGAGTTCCCCAAGGACAGAGTGTAAAAGTCCAAAGGTTTTGGGAGAATTAGTGCCCCAAAGATTACCTAGTTCTGGATTCTTAGATATTTCAGGTGAGTGAAGAAACATTTGTGGCAAATTAAGATTTCAGGCTGAAAGACTGAACATAATGCTCTGCTAATGAGCTGGCTTCAAAAATCCACATGATGTCAGGGAGGGGCTTAACACATATAAAAGTATTTTAAGAAAAGCATAAAATTCCATCCAAATATAAGGTGTACAGAGGGTGTGGAAGAGAGAATGGGGAGATGGTCATGTGTTTATTATGGAATGTACATGAATGTCCAGAGGGGAACCGTATTGGGAAAGGGAAGACTCACAATTACCTCTGAATCTATTAAACCTAGGATGGGGTGGTATTATGCTCCCAAACCCATAAGCAAGCGCTGTCAAAGCCACAGTTCAGCAAGCAAGGCTGTAACAGACTTTAATGCCTATTCAAGTCTTTGCTTTCCAGTTCTTCTTTCCACTTGGTATCTACTCGCCATCTGGAGAGATAAAAGCCTTACCTGGGGTCTTGCAAGCAGGTTGCTTCTTGGCCATGCTTTCAGATTTTGGCCTGCTCTGTTGCTTCTCTGCAATGTTAGATATTTTGGTGAGGCTCCCTGCAGCATTCAGGAGCCCCTCGGAAGTGCTTCTTCTGATCCTATGCCCCTTACCTACAAAGGATGAAGCTGGGCCCGAGGGCACTGAAGCAAGCTGGGTGAAGTAATCTTGTTTCTCACTCTCACGCTTCTGCAAGGAAGGGACTCTTCTCAGTCGAACTCCAAAAAGGTTTTCAACATGAGCCTGGTTGGATAGGCTTAAATGCTGGTTATTATTTCCATCACCACTCTCATGAACTTCTTCCTTGGAGTAAATGCCCGTAGAAGTGGATGTTTGCCCAGCAGGGGGAATGGTGAACTTCCCAGGTTTGGTAGCAGGGGCCAGGATGCTCTTTATGCGGTTTTTGGAACCTTGGCTGAACTTCCTGGTTTTGTTTGCAAAAGCTTGATCTCTTTGTAGGAACCAGTTGTCAGAATTGCTCTCAAAAATAGATCGCCCAGCACCAGCATCCACAGAACTTGAATGAACCTGTCGCTGGAAAGGGCTACTTGGAGGCAGGTGCTTCTCACTGCTGCTCTGCTTTATAGGTACATTCACTGGGCCCATTAATGACATCCGTGGCTGGACTTGAGACCTATCTGAGACTGGGGAAGAATGTTTGGGAGGCAGCTGCTTTTTAGAATTCCTCCAGTCTTCAGGAGAGCTGGCAGAAACAGAAGAGACTTCTTGCTTACGCTCAAGTTTCCCCAAGGCCTGGGAAAGCTGTCTGGGAGGCAGCTGCTCTTTAGAACTGCTGCACTTCCCAGGAGCACTCCCTGAATATGAGAAAACTTTTTGAACTTCTTGTGGGTCTTCAGGTCTCCCCAAGGACTGTAAAGGGTGCTTCATAGGCAGCATCTTCGAAGCAATGCCTCCCTTAGGATTAGCATTCCCCCAATCTGAAAAAACTTGGTGCTTGACTTTAGGCTTTAACGAAGATTTGGAAGGAAGTTTTGGAGGCAAAGGTGCCACATCACCACCCCTCTTAAGAGCAGAGCTCTCTGAAAAGATCTGCTGTGCCATAAACTTCACGAATGACTGGGTAGGACGCCTGGGAATCAGTGATTTCTTAGAAATGCCTTCAGCAGCTGTGTTCTCTAAACGGAAGGCCATTTCTTGAACTTTAGACCTCGTTAAGTACTGGGTAGGATATTTTGGAGGCAGTGCCGCCCTAGAAATGCCTGCCTCAACAGCAGTGCTCTTGAAATTTGAGGACAGTTGCTGGATTTTATCCCTCACAGTAAACTGGGAAAGAGGTCTGGGAAGCAGCGGCTCCTTAGAAATGTTCCCTTCAACAGGAGTGCTTTCTGGATCTGCAGAGAGTTGATACAGTTGCTCAAATTTAGGGGTCACCCATGGCTGGAAGGTGTATTTGGAAGGTGCCACAGGACTGCTCCATTCTGCAGGAGTGCTCATTGAACCGGAGGAGACTTCTTGCTCTACTGCTGGTCTCAGCAGGGGCTGAGAAGGCTGTCTGGGAGGCCTCAGCTCGGTAGAAGCAGTCCCTTCAGCTGCAGTGCTCTCTGGAGCTGCGGAGACTGGTTGCTCAAATGTAGGGCTCACCTGTGGCTGGAAAGGGCGTCTGGGAGATGTTGGCTCCACAGAGCTGCACCTTTCTGCAGAAATGCTCATTGAATCCAAGGAAATTGCTTGCTTGGCTCTTGATCTCATCCTGCGTTGAGAAGGCACTCTGGGAGGCAGTGGATCTGTACAAATGCCCCAGTCAGCAGCAGCAGTCTCTGGACCTGCAAAGACTTCTGCAAAGACTTGTTGCTCAAATGTAGGGATATCGCATGGCTGCAAAGGATGTCTGGGAGGCATCGACTCCATAGAAATGCTCCCATCAGCTGCAGTGCTCTCTGGACCTTCAGATACTTGCCGCTCAAATTTAGGACTCACCCGTGGTTGGAAGGTGTGTCCAGCAGGCATTGGCTCCACAGGACCGCTCCATTCTGCGGAAGTACTCATTGATTCTAGGAACTTAGGCCTCCCGGAGGGCTGGGAAACGCATCTGGGAGGCAGCGGCTCCGCATAAGTGCCTTCCTCAACAGCTGTGCTTTCTGAGACTTGCTGGATTTGAGGATCTGTCAAGGACTGAGGAGAACATCTGGGGAGCAGTGGCTCCGCAGAGATGACTTTCTCAACAGCAATGTCCTCTGAACCGGAGACCATGTTCTGTTGAAATTTAGGGTTCATCAAGGGCTGGGAAAGAAGTTTAGGAGGCAGAGGCTTCCTAGAAACGCTTTCTTCAACAGCCATGCTCTTTGGAGATGAGGCAACTTCCTGCCCCATTTTCGGATTCATCCATAGCTGGAAAGGATGTTTGGGAGGCCTTTGCTCCACAGAAATGCTCCCCTCAACAGCAGCAGTCTCTGGACCTGCAGAGACTTCTTGCTGGACTCCCGGGCTCAGCAGGGGCTGAGAAGACTGGCTGGGTGGCAGGGCCTCCACAGAAGCAGCCTCCTCCATGCTTGTCATTTCTGGACTCGAGGAGCCTTGTTGCTCTGCTTTAGGCCTCATCCGGTGCTTAGAAGGAATTTTGGGAGGCAGAGGTTGCAGAAAAATGCCCCACTCAACAGCAGCACTCTCTGGACCTGTGGAGACATTTTGCTCAGATTTAGGACCCGCCCATGCCTCGAAAGGGCGTCTCGGAGAGACTGGCTCCACGGAACTGCTCCATTTTGTAGAAGTGCCCACTGAACTGGTGCGAACTTGTTGCTGAACAGCAGGACTCATAATGGGCTGAGAAGGGCGTCTGGGAGGCAGCTGCGGCACAGAAGCACTCTGCTCTTCAGGAGTATTCTTTGAAGCTGAGGTGACTTCTCGTTGGTCTTTGGGCTTCTCCAAGGCCTGAGCAGGGTGTCTGAGAGGCAGGTCTTCCTCCGAGCTGCTGCTGCAATCCTCAGAACTGTTATACTTCTCAACATAACTGCTTGAGTCTGTGAAGACTTCATCTTCAGGCTCCTCTAAAGCCTGGGAAGGGCATCTGGGGTCCAGCTCCTCCTCGGAGCTGCTCCAGTCCTCAGCCAAACTTTTTGACTCTGAGGAGACTTTTTGTTCATCTTCAAACTTCCAAGAGGACTGGGAAGAGTGACCACAAGCCGGTTCTTCAGAACCATCCCCCTCCTCAGGAATATTCTCTGAATCTGAGGAGACTTCTTCAGCATCAGGTTTCCTTGAGGACTGAAAAAGGCTTTCGGGAGGCAGACTCTTGGCATAAACATCTCCTTTGGCTGGAGTACCTGTCGTACCCAAAACACTTGCTGTAAAGTCCTGGTGAACATCTCCAGAAGGCTTTTCTTTGCAGATAGTTTGAACACCCTGGGCTGACTCCGTTTGGGATTGGGCCTTTTGTGACTCAGAGCTGAAAGCTTCTTTCTCTTGTGACTGGATACGAGAAGGATCTGTAAACACTTGAGCCTCTGCTGCCACTGAGAGAATGGCCTCCTCTTGGCTTGTAGAAGGGCTTTCCACCATCAATGAAAGAGGAGCTCTGGCTTCTGTCTTCTCAGCTGCAGGAGCCCCATCTTCATGGTATGGTTGTGGATCAATAACCATGGGATCTTTCATGTGTTCAGGTATAGGCTGCGTTGCTGATGCTTTTCTGGATCCGAAATCTATGCCAGCATTTCTCTTTCCCATGTCATCTTTATCTGAAAGCAACCCCTGAGGGGTAGTGGTTTCTGGTTGTGGAGTTGTAGGCTGCTCCATGTTCTCCTTCTCCAAGGATAAGTGCCAGAAAGGCACACTCCCGGCAGTCTTAGCAGTAGGTGAGGATGCAGCTCTATCGCCCAGGCCATGCTCTTCACTGGACTGTTTAAGACTTCTTCCTTTGAATTCACACTCACTCAATCCTGAAACACTTGCTCCTTTTTTTCTCCGTCTTCTTCGAGATGCTGCTGGCAGTGGATGGCCCTGACTCCCAGTAGTGTCAGAGTTTGGAGCCTGGTCTGTTGTCTTCTTGTCATATATCTCAATTTTGTTGCTCTGTTCCTTGCTTGAGGAACCTGCACCCAAAAGAAATAAGAAAAAGAGAAATATGTGTGATTTCAGCTTCCTGAAATAAGAACACTGTGCCCTGGCCCAATGGTACCTAGTTGCTAATGAATTCTCTAGTATGAGGAAGCAGGTATTTGGAAGACAGGGGGCAACTTGGTCACTATTAGGTTTCTGCAGTTGGACATTTTTAAGCCAAAGGGAAATCCTAGTTCCAGGAACTGAGTGCAGGGTTGGCTTATCACATTTTTACCAATAGTCTGGTCCACCATTCGGTGTGAGACACATCAGAAGGCAAATTTTGAACCTGTAACAATGATTGCTTTTGGGGAAACTGACGGGAAAGAGGAATGGAATTTTTTACTTTCTAACTAGCATTTCTATTTTCTACATAATATTTATCTGAACTACTTGAAATTTCATATCATGTGCATGTCTTGCTTTTTTATTTTTAGAAAGATGTCAATGGGAATTATCTGGGAGGCAAGATTATGGCCCCCTTTTCTTCTTTTTTTCTATTCTCTCATATTAAAATAATCCTAGTTGTTTTTATTTCCAAGATGCAGATTGGAGGCATTGTTGGCATGTCTCTCCCACTTAGAAAGACAAAATAACATGTAGAGATTCATGTTGTGAGCTTTTTCCAAGAAGCAAGACAGGAACTTAACAGAAAGACTGAAAGAAACCACAGACCCTTTGAAAGAAGTGTCGGGCAGCAGCCTACACTGTGAACCAGATGAAAACTCCCTGTAGGAGACAGTGCACCTGCCCACAGACCCAGCATATCACTACTACAAACAGCATCTGCGAAAGCCATCACACAAAGATACTCTACAACCAAGGAACTCATACAGAGGGTTCAAAACTGAAAGCACCCAGAGCTGAAACCGGGTGACAATAAACTATAATAATCCATTAAAAAGCAGGCAAAAGACATGAATAAACAATTCTCAAAGATATTCAAATGAACCACAAACATATGAAAACATGCTCAATATCACTAATCATGAGGAAAATGCAAATTGAAACACAATGTGATATCACCTTACCCCAGCCAGAATGGCCATTACTAAAAAGTCAGAAAACAATAGATGTTGGGATGGATGTGATAAAAAGGGAATACTTACACACTGCTGCTGGAAATGCAAATTAGTACAACCTCTATGGAAAACAGTATGGAGATTCCCCAAAGAACTAAAAATGGATCTATGACTCAATCCAGTCATCTCACTACTGGGTATCTACCCAATGGAAAAGAAGTCATTATATCAAAAAGACACCTGCACACGTATGTTTATAAGATATGGAATCAACCTAAGTGCCCATCAACCTATGAGTAGATAAAGAAAATGCGATATATATATATATATATATATATATATATATATATATACACACACACACACACACACACACAAACACACACACATATATATATACACACGCATATATATATATATATATATATATATATATATATACACATACATACAATGAAATACTAACCAGGCATAAAAAAGAATGAAATAATGTCTTTTGCAGCAACTTGGATGAAACTGGAGGCCAGTATTCTAAGTGAGGTAACCCAGGAATCGAAAACCAAATACCACAGGTTCTCTTTTATAAATGGGAGCTAAGCTATAAGTAAACAAAGGCATACGTGAGTGGTATAATGGACATTGGAGACTCGGACAGGGAGGAGGGCGTGAGAGAGATGAGGGATGAAAAACTACATACTGGGAACAACATACATTACTAGGGTGACAGGTACACTAAAATTCTAAACTTCACCACTATACAATTCATTCATGTAACCAAAATCCACTTGTATCCCAAAAGCTATTGAAAGAAAAATTTTTTAAAAATCAAGTATGTAATACGCATGCAAAGAAATTCTCGGAATGCCTTAGCAATTGCATTGGTCCATCGGCTTCAGGTCAAGCACAAGGTCATAGTTGTACAGATTGCTCCCCTCCTTTCTTGTAGTACTTTTCTAAGAAACTCAATTTGGCCCCTTGCTGCCTTTCTTTACTCACTATCTGCTACATCCCTAGCTCCATCTAATGGTTTCATATCCAGCATACAGCGCTGAGCATAAATGATTGTGCTCCAAACCACCTCCATGATATGGAAAATCAACTAAAGTATCTGCCCCCACGGATACTGGCTCAGTTCTATCCTCTGTGTGTAAAAAAGACAACCATTAAAACATAAATCTCAAAAAGATAAAAGAGTACTAATTTGATCTTTTTTTTTTCTGGAGAGTTTTGTGGTTTTCTTAGTTTTCAAGGGAAAATGTGCTTAGGAATATCCTGTCTTTGAACCTACATGTGAAATCCTTTGTGGCAAAAAAACGTGACATAACTTTCAACTTAATTTGAGGAACTGGAATTTTTATCAAATATTGCTTGAAATTAGCTTGCCATCAGTTGGAGCCAACATTGACATATGCACACACATAAACAGAGAGCTTTTCACTCTGGTGGTATTTTTTGTTTGGGAATTTGATAGGTGTTGGCTGCCAAGGACATCTGTCTGCAGCTGCCCAAACCCTCTTTGTCCGTGGATGTGGGCAATAGTCTCATTATTAACACGGACATTTTCGCTCTACAGGAAGAGAAAGACAACTTTTTAAAAATGATTTTTTGGCCAATTCTGTTATTCCTTTCTGGTTCTGTTGCTGAGGGGGATTGCTAAAGGGGAAATCACTGGCTGTCCTCTCACATCTGGGCTCACTGAGGAACTCAGCATGTACATTACCCCCAGAGAAGATGAAATAAATTTATAAACAAAACACCTCTCTTGTTGGAAATTCATTTAGATAAAATAAGAATCCAGGTATGCTGACACAAGAGCAGAAAATCAAACACTGCATGTTCTCACTCATAGGCGGGTGTTGAACAATGAGAACACATGGACACAGGGAGGGGAGCACTACACACTGGGGTCTGTTGAGGGGAAACGGGGGAGGGACGGGGGGATGGGGAGGTGGGAAGAGATAGCATGGGGAGAAATGACAGATACAGGTGAGGGGACAGAAGACAGCAAACCACACTGCCATATGTGTGTACCTATGCAACAATCTTGCATGTTCTTCACATGTACCCCAAAACCTAAAATGCAATAAAAAAAAATAAAAAATAAAAAAAAAAGAATCCGGGTATGATCCTTTACCTGAACCCCACACAAGTGGCAATTATATTACTTTGGCAGTTTAGAGGGAGAAGCCTGGACCATATTATCTGCATCTTAAATTGAAAGCTCTCTGAGGACCAAGGACAGCAGTCTCGGGTAATTCTTGGGTATAGCTCCTATCAACATAGCACTGTGTGATGTAGTCTGTCATACATGTTTCTGGGTGAGGGTAAAAATATGCTAACCTGCACTGTCCGTACCCAGCTTCTTTTGGTCAGTTTCTTTTGGTTTGGTTACACTCTTTTCTTCTCCAGAAACCAATGGAAGGTTTGGCTCCTCCTGATTTGGTTTTACCTGAAACAGGAAAAGAACGAGCTTGAATCCTACTGAAGTGCTTTCCAACCACTCCTATATGGTTGCCAAAAAAAAAAAAAAAAAAATCAGGAAAAAATTTCTTGATGCTGAGCATGTAACAATACCTTAAAAGATGGAAGTTATTTCAGTGGAGATATTTCCAGCAATTTCTTAATGGAATAGTTTCCACGAAGAGATTCCTGGGGATCATTTTACCTATTGGAAGTGGTTCATCCAGGTTTGGAGTTTCTAATCTCTGAATGACACACTACAGGGATCTCTCTAAAACACCCTGGAAACTACTGAACCACACTAGAAGGCCTGGAATCCGAAAATGGGGTCGTTGGGGCTGACAATGATCATGCCCTTGGCCATAATGGGATTCTCAGATTTGCTTCACCAGACCTGTGAGCCAAATTCAAATCCTGTTTTGCTTCTTTTCAGGGAATTTAATGAAAGCATGAATTATCTCTTTCCAGATCAAACGAAGAAAGAGAATTAGGGTTTTGTTGGGAGGAAAAGGAGAAAAAGCTGAAGGGTTCAGCCCTTACATTGGATGGGGTGAAGTTGGTTTAGTATAAATAAGGTTTCCTGATAATTAGAATACAGCTCTGGAAATGTCAGCATAGCACTGCACTGAACAGTGTATGGAATTTGCTTAGTGTAAGCCTTTATGGCATGCATGAAAAGACAAACATACAACTCTTGACACTCCCACTCAAAGCGCCTGTGCAAACAGACACAGCTCATAATTATTTATTTTTGAGCCAATGTGGTCAGATTGGCCTGGATTCAGGATCTCTTCATCATTTACTTGCTGCGTGACCTTGGGCAAGTTATTCTCTGAATCACTGTGTCTACATCAATAAATAAGAGACTAGGAAAAACCTCCTGTGGGATTTGCAGATCTAATAAATTCCAGAGCAGGGAGAAAGTGGTAGTAGTCCCTGTATCATAAATGATCTTGGATCTTTTTATATTCATCCACATGTCAGGGAGAGCGTCACAGGGAAGAAGTGGATGTCCTGGCCTTCTCAGAGGGTGATGCCCAGGCCTTTTCTCAACTAGGCTATACAGAAAGAAGAAACTTAGAAGGATCATACCGTTTCCCTCAGCCAAACTTCCCCATCTCCCAGGTCTGTGGTGAGGTATTCAGGGGATAATGCATGTATGGGGTTTGGCACCTAGTAGTTGGTCACCCCTTATTTGACACCAAACTAAGAAGATACTCTCAAGGCCACCAGAGGGCTTCCCTCTGCCCGCTCCCCCTGCTCCTCCACCTGTCCTTTCAACTCATATTTTGTGTACTACCTAAAGTGAAATTGAAATGCCTAAGCTAGAGGCAAGATGGTGGGATGAAAAATGTGCTCAGCTAGAAGTCAGAAGACCGGATTCTGGCCCCAGCTCTCCCACCACATGGGTGTTTGACTGTGGGTAAGTATCTGAAATTATTTGTGCTTTAATGTCCTTCCCTGTAAAATGTTTGTACTATACAATCTGTTAGTCTCTTTACCTTTGATTTACAGTCTCTTACTTTCAGACCAGAATCACTGGCAAATTCAGTTTTTGATAAAAGTGAATTTTGTAGCCAACGGACACATCCCTTTAAACACTGACATTTTTTAATCCTTAACTTTTTTTTTTTGAGTCGGAGTTTTGCTTGTTGCCCATACTATAGTGCAATGGTGTAATCTTAGCTCACTGCAACCTCCACCTCCCAGGTTCAAGCGATTCTCCTGCCTCAGCCTCCTGAGTAGCTGGGGCTACAGGCGTGCACCACCACTCCTGGCTAATTTTGTATTTTTAGTAGATATAGGGTTTCTCCATGTTGGTCAGGCCAGTCTCGAACTCCTGACCTCACATGATCAGCCCACCTCGGCCTCCCAAAGTGCTGGGATTGCAGGCATGAGCCATCATGCCCAGCCCTAATCCTTAACCTTTACTAAAAGCCTTTTCTAAAAGCATTATTTCTCTCTGTTTTTAATTAAACAGGGATCACAAAACATAATCTACTTTTTCTAGATGACTTGGACAAATAATTAAATGATCTATTACCCTGGACTGTGACATAGCGTGGCCCTGAAGGACCTATTGAAGTGGGCAAGGTTCTTGAGCTCCTATATTAAATGGCCCCAGATTGTTTCTGTCATTCTCTCTGCTCTCAGCTGTCGCTCTCGTTGCTGTCAGGTGTGAGTCTAATCTGTGGCCATGTTTTTTACACAGTAGGTCTGCTTTTTAGAAAGTCACATGACATCTATTCGGAGATCTTTGGAGGGGTTAACAACTAAGTTCTGGATGTTTGGAGTTGCTGAAAGCTTGACCTCCAAATAAGTGGAATGGTGCTGCAATTTGTAACTCATGGATCTTATCCGATTAATAACTGAAAGAATCCTGATCTGGGGTAGGGTTGAATATTCTCTACAAATAGAGCTGAGTGAACTTTCGGATGCTAAGCCAATAAGCAGTTGATGGGGGTTTAAATCATTCACTGTTTCTGCTTCCTTTTAGTCCCTTCTAATATAAAGTTCCACATGGATAGGAAACACACCCAATAGATGCAAGCTTGCTCACCCTGCTGGGGTTGTCAAGCTTAGGACAGTGCCCTTGACCTTGCCAATCTTACTTAGGGCATGGGTCTCCTACACCATACTCTTTTCCTAGTAGTAGTTTGCAAAAATTGGAACTTATATTTTCTTATACAGGGGTTTAGTGCCCTGTCTCTTGAACGACTTACAATCGCTTGAAGGTTCTTCTTCTTTTGCTTGCGGGGATTTAAAGCTATCTTGTGGCGAGCAGCTGAAGAATCCAAACAGCCCTCGGTGGTGGCTGGGGTGCTGAAACCAACGGGCAGCGGGGTGCTGCTGGTAGAGGAAACTGTGGCAAATGCAGTCAAGGACTGTGAGCAGTCAGGTCCAGGTAGTAACTCAGAGAAGCTCTGAAGAAGGTGAGAGAAAACAGACGAGTCAACCATATGCTGTTACTGGTCTCAAAAGTTGGAAATTCTTCTGACTGAAGAATTCCTAAAGAAGAAATTCCTCATGAACTATTGTCCCCCTTTCCTACATTTCCGGTCAATAGGCTTATTCATTATTGGTAAGCTGGTTTCCTTGCAGATAAAAACAAGAAACAGGAAGAAGTTTGGGTTACTCCCCTGCTTAGAAAGCTTTCAGGGGCACCCCACTGTCCTCGAGAGCAGAACACAACCACTTAATTGCGTTTGCAAGATCAGAGGGGTTGCATGTTCTCTTGTCCTAGATCCCCTTCTTATCAACAGGACATCGGGCTGGGGTGAGAGGCGCAACTGGTATCAGTGAAACCCAGCAGAGCTCTGGGATTTCTACATTGGAGGGTTGGGTTGAGGGAGAAAAATCAGGTTGGAAGAAGGCCTGTCTGCAAGCTGCGTTTTCAAAGCGAGCGCACTACCTTTTATTTATATTGACAGTTCATGGGTGCAAGACTGATGGGAGGACCCTCAGGAATTGAATGCTCCAACCTCCAGTGGGATAGGTATGGAGCCCGTAACCCTGTCCTCATTATGGCTGCCCTCCATATCACCATACTGTTTGGTTCTGGGACACTTAGTTGAATTCCTCTGTAGGACCTTCAAAACAGTCTCCTCTGGGCTTCTGGACATAGTATTTTCCATACCTCGAAGAGCCTCCCCAGCGCTCTTTCCGTTTCTAAGAAGATTCCGATTTCTGTTAGCAGAAGACCCTTTGAAGATCAGCTGATAAACTGTCTCTGCTAGATACTAGTAGCAAATTATATAATTTAGCAAGTAGACAGAATTTCCATTTGTGTTTACCCACTATGTTCTCTTCAGACTAGTTTTGCACACTGCCAGGGATCCCCTTGGTACTTGGATGTTGCACATGTCTTTACGATTCCCACCACTGTTGTACGCTGATGCAGTGATAACCTGAGCTACTATCTTGGTTATGAAGATGGCAGTGTAATTCCAGTGCCTGGGGACTTAACACAGAGCTAATGGGCCAGGCAGATGACAAATCCCGCAGACCATTCTGCTTGGGATTCAGGGAGAAGACAGAGAAATAGTACAGTTGCCTTTTATGGGATCAATCAAAATTAAGATTGATCCGAAGATTTCTTTAACTTCTTTATGCCATTTTCATCCATGAATTTATATACTGCCTCTTCCTGATATTGTCTAGTTAGATTATGTTATCTACTGGAAAAATAAATTTAATATCAGTGTATAGAGTAAAAGCTCTTCTTTTATTGTTCTGGATGTCTTCCCTACTTCAGAGCAGTGTCAGAGGTCTGGTCTTTTAAGGCTGGAGGATAACATCGATGCTCCCGAGAGCCTCACATGATCTGTGTTCCTTTTGTCCCTGACCAAATTACCAGCCGTTTCCTGCTGCAGACACACTGCTGGCCTGCTGTTCTTCAAGTACTTCAGGCATGCTCTGCCCTCAGGGCCATTGTGCCTGCTGTTCCCTCTGCTGGGCATGCTCTTTCCCCGTGTTCGTGTGGCTAGCTCCCCTACTTCTTTCAGGTTTTGATTCAAAAGCCACCTTTTCATGGCCGGGTGTGGTGGCTCACACCTGTAATCTCAGCACTTTGGGAGGCTGAGGTACACAGAGCACCTGAGATCAGGAGTTTGAGACCAGCCTGGCCAGCATGGTGAAATTCTGTCTCTACAAAAAATACAAAAATTAGCTTGGTTTGGTGGTGGACACCTGTAATCTCAACTACTCAGGAGGCTGAGACAGGAGAATCACTTGAACCTGGGAGGCAGAGGTCACAGTGAGCCGAGATTGCCCCACTGCACTCCAGTCTGGGCAACAGAGCAAGAAACTGGAGTCTCGGCAAATACGTTGGAACACTGACACTCTGCAGCTGGGAGGGCGCAGCTTCCAGAGGTCTTAGCTAACCTCCACCTTTTCAGTTATGTCTTCCATGGCCAATCTATTTAAAATGTCTCAGCCACTTCATATTCTCTTCCCTGCATTGTTTTTCTCCTTGTCACTTTTCTCGGTGGCTGACATATTATGTTTTCCTTATTTAGCTTGCTTATTGTCCATGTCCCCCATTACCATATAAACTTTATGAAGAAGGTTTGTATCTGTTCTATGTATTACTGTATTGATGACACAGTACCTCCAACTGTGCTTAGTACATAGTAGTTGCTCAAAACATGTTTTTTTTTTTTTTTTTTTAACTTGGGACTTGATTATGTTAAAGGCTTCCACCAGAAGTTGCCTTTTTGAGATGTCATCAGAGCAAGCTCCTCTGTTGCCTGTATCGCTTTAGTTATTCTTTCTGAGGCCTCACTAGCTCCAGTCAAAGATAGAAGGAGAAAGACAAGGTGATCTATGAATCAGCAAACCTTAAAAAAACACCCTACAACTTGCTTTGCATGAAAGCCAACTTACAATGCCCATGTGGCAAGTAAATACACATTTAATAAATATAAAAACTTTTCAATTCAGTTGGCATCCCAGACCTTGTGGCATAAACACTACAGATAAAGCATTGTTTACTTTCGTGAAGCTAATTATATAGCGTAACAGAAAAATCAGGCTCAGCAAAACTCTGGCAGTTTCTAGATTGGATATGTGCAGGACAGTTTATCTGTTCCCAATCACAGCCTAAGCCAAGAGTCCACCAAACTTAATAGCAGCCAATGATCTCCCAGTGTTAGCTTGACTCTCATTAAGCAATCTGTATCTGTAGACATCAGTCTAAACACAGACCCACATCTATTCTCAAACCGGGGCTGAAAATTGAAGAGCAAAGCCATCAAGCATTCTCCTCATCTTACTATGGAGCTCAAGATCAGACACGTGATTTAAAACAGTCTGAAGAGGATCTCTGTTGTTAGGTTTAGAGTATGTTATGTGGGTATAGATTATGTGTATATGTTATGACTTCTCTTAACTCACCAGTGAATTAAATGAACTATTTATACACTCTGGAAGTCTATGCAGTATTCCTCAATGTATGGTCTGGAATCCCCCAGTACCAAAATCACCTGGAATGAGTGTTGGAAAAGCGCATTTGGGGGACATATCAAGACCTAATGAGTAAGAATATCAGAGGAAAGGCTTTGGAATAGCCTTAACAGGGTTTCCAAATGAGTCTTCCAGGAGCCAAAATTGAAAACCACTGCCTAGTCCTCTCGCGTGAAGAGAAAGGCTCCTATTTTCAAATATGACTACAGCAAGTCCAGGAATAATCCCAGCAGCTGCCTTAGAACAGGAGTCAGAAATATCTTTTGGGAAGTGTGGTTCCTTCTTAGGCCTTCTTAGGGCCTCTTTCCCTCAGCTCTACTGGTTAACAGCAACCTAGAAAAGTTACCACAGGAGCCAACCACAGGATTCTATGAGTTGCCCAGGAAAAGCAAATAGAATCCCTTCCTGGCGGAATTCTGAAAGAAAACTGGATGGACAAAGTGGGACAGCGCTCTTGCCTTTTCCTTCCTTGCTCCCCCCACAACGCCATTCCTCCTTTTATGCACTCTGACAGCCGACATACCAACATGCCCTGTCTGAACCCAATATGCGTATTAATTTTTCGTTTGTATACATTTAAGGGGTATAAGCGTAGCTGGTTACACGGATATATTGCGTAGAAGTGAAGTCTGAGCTTTTACCATAACCATCACCCAAATAATATACATTGTACTCATGAAGTGATTTGACATCCCTCACGCTTCTCCCTCCTTCCCTCCCTTTCAAAGCTCTAATGCTCATTTTCCACACTCTCTGTCCACTGTGTACACATTATTTAGCTCCCACTTTTAAGGGAGAACATGTGGTCAATTATGCATATTATTAAGTAAGGCTGAGATGTTTCCATTTCTTCTCCTATGTTTTAGAGGGAGTTTAACACAGACATCTTCAGATTAATATCTGGAATTAATGGGCTCCTCGTGCCTCAACATCTGGAAGATGTGCCTGGCCAGGTACCTATTAATCCAGAATCTTCTTAGAGAAGGAATCTGGGTTAGACCTTGGGCCAGGGAAAAGGATTCTTCAGCACTGGTCGGTAGGGAGCTGAATACTCTTTTGCTGTTAGCTGGGATAAGGGCAGCTCTTTGGAAAATAAAAACATATTTTCACTTCTTTTTTGCCTTCTGTCAAGTTTCTAGACCCAGTGCAAAGCAGTTTAGTCAATAACGCACATTTTGGTAGTCCTTTTAATGGTTTCTTTTTCTGTTGTGTGATGCTAGGGTTTTCTCCTTTTGAGCAGGGAGAGAGAGCAGTTTGACTGTCTTCTTGGAACAAAGGAAAGCTCTGATTGTAATGTCTGAAATAAGAGGATTACCAGGGGGCTGTGGAGGTCCAGGTTCCATCAAGCATTTGGTCCATAAAGCTGTCACTCTGGGAAAAAAATACACTCAGACTGACACTAGGATGCCGGGGAGCTGGGTTCTATGTGAGTCAAAAGCTAAAAGAAAGTTGTCTTTGGAATAGCTCCACAAGAAGCAACTTTTGTTGGGAAAAGTGGTTCTTGGTGGGAGACTTCTGCACCAAGAGGTACTGGCACAGGGTGAGACCCAATAATGGCTAAGATTTTAATTCCCTGGGTGTGGCAAAGTGGCTTCTGTGCCCATTCCTGAGATTTCCTGCACAGCTGCTGCTTAACTCAAAATCTCTGTTACTTAAAAGCTGTCGCGGTCAATATTTTTGCCAACTTGAAAGTTCTTGGAGGTGGAATTTCTGATATTCCCTGTACCCCTCTTCTATCGCAATCTCTTCAGTTTCTTGAATGAGAGAGACTTTCTCTTCATTTCTAGTATAGAGAATAAGAACATGGACTTTGAAACCAAACAGGCCTGAATATGACATCCTAGCTATACCATTTATTGGCTGTCTGACCTTGAGCAAGTTCCCTAACCCTTTTGAGCCTCAGTTTTCATGTCTGTAAAATGGGAATAATCATAATGCATACCTTGGCTCGTTGTTGTAAAGATTAAATAAAATGATACATGGAAAGTGCTTAACACACTGCCTGTTACATAAGAAAGTTTTGATAAATGTTAGCTGCTGTTGCTATTGCTGAGCATTGGTTATACAAAGTCAGAGGACTGCTAGAAGCCACGTAGTTCAGTGAAAGTGCTATAGATTTGATCAGGAGTCCTGGAATCAAGCTCCAGCTCTATCTTTGATTGGCTCTCTGGCTTTGGCCAAGTCACTTCACTGCTCTGAACCTCAACTTTTTTCATCTATAATGGGAATCTTTCCTAGCTGCTTTACAGAGTTATTGAGAGAATCAAATGTAACTATACATGGAAAATCACTTTGAAAGTTGTACATTTGTATACAGTCATGGGGAGGGAGCATATGTTCTCCTTTGATGTATGAGAAGATTTTAAAATTTAAATTTTCTGTTATTTTAGAGACAGAGTCTCACTACATTGCCCAGGTGGAAGTATGGTGGCTACACACAGGCATGATCATGGTGCACCACAGCCTCGAGTTCCCAACCTCAAGTGATCCTCCTGCCTCAGCCTCCCAAGTAGCTGGGACTACAGGCTTATGCAGCAGAGGATTGCTTTAAAAAAATTGTTCTGGGCTTTGGAGACTTATTTGTATTTCATGCTGGGGAATTACAGAGTAGCCACCCAGATAAAGCATGAGATATTATAAAAAGAGGCAAACTTGCAGCACTCTAAATTAACTCTTTGTTAGCCAATTCAATGGAATAACTTAACCCCCAATATGTTAAATACCAGCATTTATCCTGCAATGTGACTGAGGCCAGGGAATTTAATCAGCTCAAACTTTAAGCTTTAAGAATTTTATCCTGACAATGTATATTGATAGCTTATCTTCACAGGTGTGGGACAAAGGACAAAACTCAAACTCATCCCTCTGCTCACCTGAGACAAATGCATATTTGTTTGCTTCTGCTGATGTAAAAATGCAGATTCACTGAGGAAGATGAAGGCATAAGTGACCATTCCTTTATCCCTTCTCACATGTAAATTGTGTATTGAGTGAAAGGCTGATCAAAGACTCAAAAAAATGCAACCATTTGTCTCTTATCTTCCCACAACTTTTAAAAATGTGTTCCTCTCTCCCCAATATCCACCTTTTCCCCTTTAAATATCGAAGCCCTCAAAATCATCTTTGGAGAAAGGCACAGAACTGTTTCCCAGGTGCGCATCCTTAACCTTGGCAAAATAAAATTTCCAAATTGATTCTGACCTGTCTCAGACACTTTTCTGGTTTACAAACTCAACAGCAAAAAGACAAGTAACTCAATTAATAAATGGATAAAGGAGAAATAGATATTTCTCCAAAGAAGATACACAAATGGCTAATAAGCACATGAAAAGATATTTAACATCATTATTTACTAGAGAAATGCAAATCAAAACCACAATGAGATACTACTTCACACCCACAAACATGACTATAATTTTTTTTTTTTTTTTTTTTTTTGAGATGGAGTCTTGCTCTGTTGCCAGGCTGGAGCACAGTGGCACAATCTCGGCTCACTGTAACCTCCACCTCCCGGGTTCAAGTGATTCTTCCGCCTTAGCCTCCCGAGTAGCTGGGACTACAGGCTCGTGCTACCACACCCAGCTAATTTTTTTGTATTTTTAGTAGAGACAGGGTTTCACCATGTTGGCCAGGATGGTCTCGATCTCTTGACCTCATGATCTGCCCACCTCGGCCTCCCAAAATGCTGGGATTACAGGCGTGAGCCACCACGCCTGGTCAACTATAATTTTTTTAAAAAACGAACCTAAGAAGTGTTGGCCAGGATGTGGAGAGATTGGAACTCTCATAAATTGCTAGTGGGAATGTAATGTAAGATGGTGTAGCTGTTGAGGAAAACAGTTTGGTAGTTCCTCAAAAAGTTAAACATAGAATTACCATATGACCCAGCAATTCCACTCCTAGGTATATACCCAAAAGAATGGAAAACAGGTGTTCAAACAAAAATGTGTATGCGAATGTTCATAGCAGCACCATTCACAATATCCAAAAGGTAGATAGTACACAAGTGTCCATCAATGGATGAATAGCTAAACAAAATGTGGTACATCCATATAATGAAGTATTATTCAGCCATAAATTGAAATGAAGTACCGATAAATGTCACAACATGGATGACCCTCAAACACATTGTGCTAAGTGAAAGAAGCCAGCACAAAGGCCACATAACATATTGTATGATTCCATTTATATGAAATATCCAGAGTAGGCAAGTACAGAGATAGAAAGCAGAATAGTTGTCGTCAGGGGCTGATGGGCGATACAAATGGTGAATGACTGCTTAAAAGGAACTGGGCTTCCATTTGGGATAACCAAACAGGTTCTGATCCTTGATAGTGGTGATGATTGCATAACATTGTGAATGTATGTAGTGTCACTGAATTGTATACTTTAAGATGGCTAACATGGTAAATTTTACATGATCTGTATTTTAGTACAATAAAAAATGCCATCTAATTCAATCCTTCCACTAATTCAGACTATACATCCCAATTCATCTGATTTAGTGGCATTCTGCAGAAAATCCTTGTAGTCACAGCCCAGATTCATAAAACAATAAGCATTCACCCACCTACTACCAGTCTGTGCTTTAACTTTGGTTTTAACCTAATTTGTTTCTTTGTGGACATATCTAACCGAGCGCTGATTCACTTCATAGGATCTTTTAACAACAAAATGGAGTTTTGTTCTGACTGGCCAATTCTCTTCATTATAAATTAGGTTTCTGTTTACTTTTTATTTCCAAAGGTTAATCATTCTAAACTTTACTTCACTCTAAGAGCCCTTTCAAGTTCACAAACAACCAATTCAATTAAACACACATTAGTTTAAGAATGGAAGTGTTTATATGGGCACATGCTACTAATTTGCTGATTGATATTATCTGGTTGACAAACTTAGACATATGAAATAGACACATTGCCCTCTCATGTGTCAACTGATTCTTCACGTGAATATGTTATCAAATAATATTATATGCCCTAACCACTAATATTTTTTGGATTTCAAAGTGTAGAGACTATGCTTCAGTAAAAACCTCTATTTTTATCTTCATGAAATACTCAAAACATCTGCAAACTATTACTGCTTCCAAAATACTATCTTCCATTGTTTATACGTTAAAGTTATGATTATTTGGTTTGTAGAATTGGATGGAAAACCACCATGCAAATCAAAAGCTAAGAATGTCAGCTCCTTCCCCAATCATCCCCCTAGTGGTGAGCTCCAGCGAGAATGAAGAACACAAGAAGAAATTATGCTTCTGATCTGTGAGCCCCCCTCCTTACCTGCCCCTTAATATACTCACCTGAGTCGCTGTCAAAATCTCATGTGGTAAAGCCTTCTTTTGTGGATTCTTAGGTGACTCATCATCGATAGAAATTTCTACCAAGTCCTTAGAAGTTGGGTCAGATCGGATAACAGGTGGGATGACGCTGAGTCGGCGTCGGCGCGATGGTGGGTTCTGTCAAGAGGGAGAATAGAAGGAACAAGTTAAAACTTGTGCATTCGCTCCCAAATTAGTGGTTTTCTCTTATTCTTTAATAAGAGAAAGAAGGCCGGGTGTGGTGGTGCACACCTGTAATCCCATCACTTTGGGAGGCTGAGGTGGGCAGATTATGATGTCAAGTGATCAAGACCATCCTGGCCAACATGATGAAACCCTGTTTCTATTCAAAATACAAAAATTAGCTGGGTGTGGTGGTGCGTGCCTGTAGTCCCAGCTGCTCGGGAGGCTGAGGCAGGAGAATCGCTTGAATCCGGGAGGTGGAGATTGCAGTGAGCCGAGATCACACCACTGCACTCCAGTCTGGTGACAGAGCGAGACTCCATCTCAAAATAAAATAAAATAAGAGAAAGGAATCAAAAGTTTTTTGAAGACTAAGAATCCAAAGTGGAAAAAAATAAACCCAGGGAAGAATTTTCTACCTCCTTGCCTTTATTTCTGGTACATATTCAAACCAAAGACTAGTAGCTTTGATTTCCTCTCTGGGGTGCGCACACTTTTGCTAATCCCCAAACAAAGACAGAAACTTCAAATTACTTGCTCATGCAAAATCAGAATCCTGATGTTATCTCCTTACTGGTGTTAAATACAAATCTTATTTAATTCTGATCTTTGTTTTAATTTTGGTCATGTCTTTGGAAGTCCAGTTCTCATAGAGGTGAGTCTTTTAGTTATGACCTGGATTGGAATTGGCATCCAAACTACACTCTTTGCTCATAGTATTCCAGGAATTATCTGGATTGAATCTTGACTGTGTTAGTTGCTTATCTTAATCCTGTCAAGATTGATTTTCTGGGATTTTTAAAGAAAATCTATGGAACTAGTCCTGGTTTCCTAAAGGGAAAAAAAAATTGATCATTTGGGCTTTCCTTGCAATTCAGCCGGCAATTTAGTTGTTTCCATTTTGAAGAAAATGGTACACTTGACTTGGAAGCACTGGTCCCTGCCATGGTACTCTTGATGTTGATCAGAATCCCTGCTTTTTATCTTTAACAAATACTGGCTAAGCATTTACAATGCATTATATCCCACTCCAGGAACTGGGCCTGCAACAATAAACAAATTCTTGCTGTCATGAAGCTGACATGCGTGCTTCTGTTGTAGACTCTCCTCAGCTCAAAGCAGATAGCTTTCAGACACTGTAGCCAAAGAAGGCACCACAGTGGAAGCTTGCTAAGGTTATGTTCCTGGGGTGCTCCTGGCCAGGTTCTCCAGGGCTTCCTTATTACTACTAGGCTCCATTGGGAGCTCTTGGGAAGAGGCCAGATCAACCAGCCCCAAGCCCAGCTTGATTAATAATAACTACAATAATGGCAAATAACTTTTACTAAGGGCTTACAATGTGCTAAGCAGGGAGTGCTCTCCGTAATACATCTCATTGAAGACTCAACAAAAATTCTTTGAAGCATTTGCTATTGTGGGCTCTGTTTTACAGATGGAAAAAACAAAGTTTGAGAGATGATGTAACCTGCCATAATTCTCCCAGTGGCAGAGAAAGCATTTGAGAGGTCTGTCCAGCTTAATTGCCCTTGTTCTTGAGCACTATGAACTCCTGTCTCCTAATTATAAGGGCCAGAAAAGGGAAAGCCCATACTACAGGCCAAGTTCAAGAAGTTTAAAGTCAACAACCAGAGCAGATGGTGTGACTGCTTCCTTAAGAAGGGCCGAGGGACAGTCAAGCCTGTAAGCAATAAGAAAAACTGTTTTGAAGTCTCAGTTCCTTAAATGAATAAATTCAATTTGATTCAACAACAGCAAGATGTTAATAATCTGCTGTTGTATCTTCTTAACTATTTGTGCTCAAATAAAGGGAACAGAGAATGTCTTGGAGAGTAATGTAGGCATCTACGTTCTTAACACTTCAGATTGGACATCAGGTGAAAATCTGGCAGGAAATAAAATTGTCTCAGTGTCAGTGTTTCTGACATAACTGTATACCTGGATTTCTTCTTTCACAATCTCCTAGTTGTTCTGAATGCCACTTCATCCATTAGAATCCTGCCCCTTCAAAGGAATTGACCCCACTGGCCAATTCCATATTTGCACCAGCTTCTATGTAGCACAGGGTGTCAGGACTCTTGACTTAATGCTGTCAACCACCCTTCCATTTGGGGTTGTCATTTTGGTACTTAAGGGAAGTTTCCCATGCAAAGGTCAGGCTGGTTGTTGATGACTTAGGTCTATTAATACCTTGCTGTCTTCAACCCTGTTTTCCAGGGTATGAACTAAGGGGTCTGGTCAAAAGTATGAGGTGTAGGCCCAAGCCAAACATTTAAGAAAACTTGCCTTTAGACGATTGTGGCCTTCCCCAGCCACTTCCTTGTGAGAAGCAATGCCCCTAGAATATTTTCCTTTCGTTTTCACAAAAATTAATTTTTTAAAAAATGGGACTAGGCACAGTGGCTCACACCTGTAATCCCAGGATTTTGGGAAGCCGAGGCGGATGGATCACCTGAGGTTGGGAGTTCAAGGCCAGCCTGACCAACACGGAGAAACTCTGTCTCTACTAAAAATACAAAATTAGCTAGGTGTGGTGGTGCATGCCTGCAATCCCAGCTACTCAAGAAGCTGAGGCAGGAGAATCACTTGAACCCAGGAGGCAGAAGTTGTGGTGAGCCAAGCTCATGCCATTTCACTCCAGCCTGGGCAACAGGAGCAAGACTCCGCCCCCCCAAAAAAGAAAAAGAGTATCTCTGCTATGTGAGTCTCTCTGTTGCTGGGACTAAGAGAAGAGGGGAGAGAAGGAGGAGTCCAAGAAACCAGTTTCCTCTTTCTGAATGTGAGAACCCTGTGGCACTTGGTCATGGTTGTGAGGCTGCAGGAAGTGTAACTATGGAGGTGAGTGAAAGCTAGTATTGATGTTTAAAACTGAAGATTGAATAGTTCATGGAAATGACTTTTCCTGCTGTAGTACAAGACAGCAACAGTCTTCTGACTCTAAGGGTTGCTTAACAACCTTAGGGTCAACACAATTAGTGTCTATCTCAGTGTTTTCTCCTCTAACCTTCATAGCTAATGGATCCAGAAGAAAGGAAGCCAGAGTGAGAGATGTGGGGTCTTAGCAGACATGTCAGAAATAAACCCCACTTACCTTTTGCCAAATGGAAAATAATCATCTCTCCAGTGGAGAAGGGTCTCCTCCTTGTGTGGTCTTCCCACTTACACAGGGACCTTTGGACATAATCCCACCCACAGGCTGAGAGGGGGAAAGTGGCTATTAAGGGTTGTCTCCTTGACAATATCTCCAGCTCTCCCTGGAGCATTTCTAAATCAGAGCTATAGTCTGACTGAGCAATGGATCCCTACCATATGTTCAGGATTAGCTGGAGGCAAGAAGCCACATAAATGCTACATTACATAGGGGCTAAGGTGTACCCTTCTTTCTGTCCAGGCAGGTATAAAGAACATGAGCATTGCGGGATAATGGAAAGATCAAGGGTTTTGAGGTTAACACACCTGGGTCAGAGTTCCAAGTCTACAATTTACTGCCTGGGTAAGCTTGAGCAATGTCTTTAACTTCTCTAAGTCTTCATTCAATTCTCACAAACAACCTTTTGAAGTAGATGTTAATATTATATCCACTGTAGATGAGAAAAAGAAGGCTCAGGCCAGGCATGGTGGCTCACGACTGTAATCCCAGCACTTTGGGAGGCTGAGGTGGGTCGATCACAAGGTCAGGATATCGAGACCATCCTGGCCAACATGGTGAAACCCTGTCTCTACTAAAAACACAAAAATTAGCCTAGTGTGGTGGTGCACGCCTGTAGTCTCAGCTACTCGGGAGGCTGAGGCAGGAGACTCGCTTGAACCCAGGAGGCAGAGGTTGCAGTGAGCCGAGATTGCACCACTGCACTCCAGCCTGGTGTCAGAGCAAGACTCTGTCTCAAAAAAAAAAAAAAAAAAGAAGACTCAGAGAAGTTAAGCAACTAGCCCATGGGTCACACAGCCAGTAAGTAGCACAGTAAGAATTCAAGCATAGATCTGTCTTTCTGACTCAGCTGCCCATGCTCTGAATGATTCCACTTTGTTACCTCAGTGATCTTGGGGCTCGTAACCCAGACTGCACTTGCAGGCACATCTTGAGGCACAGCTCCTGACATTGCTCCAAACACAGTTACACGCACATTACTCTTAGGTTTAGGCAGAGTTCTGGAAATATGGGATCTCTGTATAAGAGAGAGAGAAAAACGAGGGTTGGTATGCCAGCACATAAACAGTAGAATGCCACTGCCAAAATAGTTATTCTTATTGTATGTTAAGAAAAGTAAATATAGGCCAGGGATGGTGGCTCACGCATGTAATCCCAGCACTTTGGGAGGCCAAGGTAGGAGGGTTGCTTGAGCCCAGGAGTTTGAGACCAGCCTGGGCAACATGGTGAAACCCTGTCTCCACTAAAAGCACCAAAAAAATCATCTGGGCGTGGTGATACAGGACTGTAGCCCCAGCTTCTCGGGAAGCTGAGGTGTGAGGATCACTTGAGCCTGGGAAATTGAGGTCTCAGTGAGCTATGATCATGCCACTGCACTCTAGCCTAGGTGACAGAGTGAGACCTATCTCAAAAATAAATAAATAAATAAATAGAAGTGAATATGGAAATACTAATCAATACTGTGTGCCAGGTAATATGCACATTATATATTTATACATCCTCTCATTCAAGGCTTACAACAGCCCTGTGGGGGTAGGATCAGCTGAGAAGCGGAAACAAGTTCTCACTCCTTTTAATTTTTGCAGGGTTAGAGTAGGGAACAGAAGAGTAGTCCAATTAGATACTGATGCTCGAGTCCATTATTACCTGTCGAGGTCTGCCTCTCTGAGAATCTGTAGAAGGACTCATTTTACTTGCTGATCTTTCAGGCTTAGGATCCAAGAAGAAGATGCTATCATGGGATAGGGCTTTGCTCCCCATGCCACTCTTGGCCCTGGACAGAAAGGAAAGGTCTTGTAAAATCAACCCAAGGGTCATGAGAACTGAAGACAAATGTATTTTCATAATATGGCCTACCATAGATACCTCAGAAGGAAAGCAGGGATGCATATGCATTGACATAGAAAGCTGCTTATGAGGTTATAGGTGAAAAAAATAGTAGTATGATCCCATTTAATATATACACATATATTACACACATATATAGTTCATACTCAAAGGAAAAAATCTAGAAGGATATCCACAAATTGTTAGAGGTGGTTCCCTCTGAGGAATGGTGCACTAGGGACAAGAAGGAAATTTTCATTTTCTACTTCTTGTCCTTCTATATAATTTTAATTTTTACATTATGAGCATATATCCTTTTTATGTAACAGTCTTACTGAGATATGGTTTACATACCATACAATTCACCCATTTAAAGTATGTAATTCAATAGTAGCAATTCTAGGGAATGGGAGGAAAGGCCATGAGTTTTGCTATTATTACAATGAGAATTATAAAAGATCTTTCACACCCAAATTTCTCTCTAGCATTTTTTTTAAGTGTATCAAAGATCTTCTCAGATATGGCAGGCTTTCATTCATCAGATCCTTTCCTCCTTCACACAGAAGCCCTACACTATATCTATCCTATTTTCAAAGTCATCTTATGTACCACCTGCCCCTCCCTTCCCCAAGCTTGCTAAATCCAGATGAGAATACCTTCTGATTTGGAATGGTGCCATGTTGGTGACAATTACGTGTTAAGAAAATTTAGAAGAAAGACAGAAACAAATGAAAGGCTAAAGACATGAAAGATGACTTTTTGGAGTGTGGTAATGTATTTTACCTTTAAAAAAATTCAACCAAAGACATCACAGGAAGAGCAAACTACAGACCAATATCGCTTATGAATATAGATGCAAAAATTCTCAATAAAAAACTCACAAACTCAATTCAGCAGCATATAAAAAGAATTATATACCATGACAAAGTAGGATTTGCAAGGAACGATTGGCTTAACATATGAAAATCAATGAATGTCAAACACTATATTAATAGAATAAAAACAAAAACTATATGACCATTTCAATAGATGCAGAAAAAAGATTTGTAAAATTCAACACCTTTCCATGATACATTCACTCAACCTTGATAGAAGACATCTGTGACAAACCACAGCTAATATCATGGTGAAAGGCTGGATGTATTCCCCCTAAGATCGGGAACAAGACAAGAATGACTGCCCTTATCATTTCTATTCAACAGTGTACGGGAGTTTACAGATAGGGAAATTAGGTAAGAAAATGAAATTAATGGCATCCAGAATGGAAAGGAAGAAGTGAAATTATCTCTATTCACAGATGACATAATTCTGTATATAAAAACTCCTAATGAATCCACTAAAAATGACTAGAACTAATAAATGAATTCATCAAAGTTGAAGGATACAAGAACAATATACAAAAATTGTATTTCTATACACTTGCAATGAACAATCTGAAAATGAAAATATGAAAACCCTTCCATTTACAATAGCAACAAAAGAATAAAAACTTAAAAATAAATTTAACAAAAGATGTGCAAAGCTTATACTCTGAACACCATATGACACTGATGAGAAAAATGCCAAAGGCCTGAATAAATGAAAGGAAATCTCATGTTCATTCATTGGAAGACTTGAACTTGTCAAGATGTCAATACTTCACAAAATGATCTACAGATTCAATGCAATCCTTATTGAAATTCCAGCTGGCTTTTTTTCCATAAAATTGTTCTTAAAATTCATAGTTAAATGCAAGGGACCACGAATAGCCAAAATAATCTTGAACAAGAAGTACAAAGTTGGATAACTTATACTTCAATGTCAAAACTTACTAGAAAACTACAGTAATCAAGAGAGTGTAGCACTAGCATAAAGGTAGACATATAGATCAATGGAATAGAGTTAAGAGTTCAGAAATGAACCTATACATCTATGGCTGATTTTCAGCAAGGGTGCCAAGACTATTCAACGAAAAAAGAATAGTCTCTTCAACAGATGGTGCTGGGGCAACTGGGTAACCACATGCAAAAGAATTAAGTTGGACCTTTATTTCACACCAGATAAAAAAATTAACTCAAAATGCATTAAACGCCTGAATATGAGAGCTAAAACTATAAAATTCTTAGAAGAAAACATAGGAGTAAATCTTTGTGATCTTGGATTTGGCAATGGATTTTTAGATATGACACCAAAAGCTCAAGCAACAAAAGAAAAAAAAATAGATAAATGGTGATATGGTTTGGCTCTGTGTCCCCACCTAAATTTCATGTCAAATTGTAATCCCCACATGTTGAGGGAGGGACCTGGTGGGAGGTGATTGTATCATGGGGGCACTTTCCCCCATGCTATTCTTGTGATAGTGAGTTCTCATGAGATCTGATAGCTTAAAAGCATGTGGGAGTTCCCTGCTTGCACTCTCTCTACTGCCACCATGTAAGACGTGCCTTGCTTTCCCTTACCCTCTGCCATGATTGAACTGTGAGTCAATTAAACCTCTTTTCTTTATAAAGTGCCCAGTCTCAGGTAGTTCTTTATAGCAGTGAGAACAGACGAATACAAATGGATTTCATCAAAATTAAAAATGTTTGTGCATCAAAGGTTACTAGTAAGAAAATGAAAAGATGACCTACATAATGGAAGAATATAATTGCAAATTATATATCTGATAAGAGTCTTGGATCTGAAATATATAAAGAACTCTCTCACTAATAGGAATTCTTATTATTGAATTCTTAAGAAATTCAATAATAAAATGCTAACCCAATTAGAAAATGAAAAAAGAATGTGAATAGACATTTCTCCAAAGAAGAAAGCTATACAAATATCTTTTCCAAAGATATACAAATGGCCAATAAGTACATGAAAAGATCCTCAACATCACTAGTTGGCAAGGAAATGCAAATCAAAACCATAATGAGATGCCATTTCACACCCATTTAAATGGCTAGAATAAAAAATTCAATTCAAATAATAACAAGCATTGGCAAGGTTGTGGAGAAATTGGAACACCCATACACTACTGGTTCCTCCATACATTGCTGGTGTTAAAATGGTGCAGCCACTTTGGAAAACGGTCTAGCAGTGCCTCAAAAGGTTAAATATGTAACAGCCATTTGATCCAACAATTCCACTCTTAGGTATATACCCCAGAGAAATAAAAACATATATCTGGCCAAAGCTTGTACACAAATGTTCACAGCAGTATTATTCACAATAGCCAAAAGGTGGAAAAAAGCCAAATATCCATTAACTGATAAATAAATAAAATATAGTAGAGTCATGCAATGAACTACTATTCAGTTGCAAGAATGATAAAATTCTGATACATGCTACAACATGAATGAACCTTGAAAACATACTGAGTACAAGAACCAGTAAGAAAAGATCACATTCCATTCATGTGAAATGTCCAGAATAGATAAATCCACAGAGACAGAAAGCAGATTAGTGATTTCTAGGGCGTGGTGGGCATGGGGCGGAGGTTGAATAGGGAGGACTGGTCAATGGGATCAGGAGTTTCTTTTTGAGGTGAGAAAAAGTTCTAAAATTTATCATGATGATGATTGTACAACTCTGAGGATTTACAAAAAAATTGAATTTTACTATTTAAGTGGTTTAATTGTATAATATATGAATTATATCTCAATAAAACTGCTACCTACCAAAAAAGAAATCAAGTTCTTGATGCATGATTTTAAATGAATGACCCTTGAAAACATACTAAGTAAAAGACCCAGTCAAAAATAGCCACATATTATATAATTGCATTCATGTGAAATATTCACAATAGGCAAATCCATAGAGGCAGAAAGCAGATCAGTAGTTTGAAAGAGGAGAGGGGAAATGGAGAATGACTGCTACTGGATGCAGGGTTTCTTTTTAGGGTGATGAAATGTCCTAAAATTGAGTAATAGTGTTAGCTGCACACCCTAAAAGGTAGAATTTTGTAGTATGTGAATTATATTTCAATAAAGCTGTTATATAGAGACATAAAAATTTTAAGTGATAAAGAAAGTTATTCCCAGTTAGGTAGGAAAAAATGTGTATGTGTATATAAAAGATGAGATTAGACATGAAAAAAGAAAGGAAGAAAAGAAGGAAAAAAGCAAGCAAGCTGATACATGCTATAACATGGATGACTCTTGAAAACACGCTAAGTCAAACAAGCATGCTAAGTCAAAACATGCTGAGTGAAACAACCTTTGTATCATTCTACTTACATCAAATATCCAGAATAAGCAAATTTATAGAGGCAGAAAGTAGATTAGTGGTTATTTAGGGGGAAAATTGTTCATTAGTACATGGTTTCTCTTAAGGAGTAATAGAAATGTTTAAAAATAGATAAAATAAATTTAAAAATGTTTAAATACACTTTTGGTACTTATTACCTTCATTACAAAACAATACATATATGTTGGCACTTTAAAAAATCTTCAGATGGTAACTAGAGTAGCAGCTTGAGCATTGTGGGGCTAGCACCCACCCTGTCATTATGAGCCTGTGGGGCCATCACATGGATATATTTGATAATGACACACCATAAGGACAATCTCATGTTATAGGGATTGAAACAGAACCTGCTCTCAGATGGCTTGTGGGCCAGCAAGAGAGGAGAGGAGAGAGATGTCTGCTACTTTGTACTAAACTCCTACTTACCTTTTCCCTATAAAACTCTGCTATCCAGGTGGCCCTGGTGTTGAAGGCAATGTAGTCTGCTTTATAAAACAGCAGTCCAGCAGAAAATTACTGTGACTCTCTAGAGAAACACTTAATGGGTATACTGTGATTGACCCAACATTGAGAGAGTAATGTTTCCGGATATCTCTATATACACGCATATGCTCAGTATATGCACACATAATACACTTTGATTCTGCTGCTCTGTGATCTACTGACTCAAATCAGGTTCAGAACCAGTGTAGCATCTGTGACTACCTTGCCTCCCCTGCTTTGTGTGCAGAAAAACTGACAGGAAATCTTGGGCTATGAGTGGCCTTAAGAATGTCTCTCATTTCCATGCTGTGCATTAACCAGAGTGAAGCTGTTGAATTGACTCTATAGTGCCAAACCCTCCCTGATCAAAAGATTACATTAGCACCAGTTGTGACCAAGTTTGTCAAAAATCAAAACTCTTGTCCACTTAACATATCTAGTGCTCATTGATCTGTTCCCTGGAGGTGAAAAGAAAAAAAAAAAAATCCAAAATCTCAAACAAAATCTCAGCCTTAAATAAGGACAGTGAAGTACATTATTACAACAGCACTCATTAAGAAATCAAATGAAGGAACAGGATTTGTCCATTCCATCAGATACAGCTTAATACAATCTTGGAAGTAGATGCTGGTCCTGTGGTACAGGCCAGGGGAAGGCTGGTCATAAGTTTCATTACGATTGATTGCTTCAGTAAATGAAAAAAGCTGATCTCCCTTCTCTGGGGTGACATATTCCAGGGTTTCTTCCCCTAGCACATTAAGCAAAAGACTGAGATCAGGGATGATCTTCAGGCCCCCTAAGTTATATTGTTTTTTTTTTTTTTTTTAAGACAGAGTTTCGCTCTTATCCCCCAGACTGGAGTGCAATGGCACAATCTCGGCTCACTGCAACCTCCGCCTCCCGGGTTTAAGCGATTCTCCTGCCTCAGCCTCCCGAGCAGCTGGGATTTTAGGTGTCCACCACACCTGGCTACTTTTTTGGGTGTGTTTTTAGTAGAGATGGGCTTTCACCATGTTGGTCAGGCTTGTCTGGAACTCCTGAGCCAGGTGATCCGCCCCCCTCAGCCTCCCAAAGTGATGGGATTACAGGCATGAGCCACCGCACCCAGCCAAGTTACATTCTTTGAGTTAATTTATGTTCCTTGCATACAAAAAAATACCCCCCTTCCCTCTCTGTCTCTGTCTCTGTCTCTGTCTCTGTCTCTCAGGTTCATGTGTGCACACACTTCTGGAAAGGAAGGAACAGTAAGAGGGGGAAATGCAGAACTTTAGCAGAGATAGTAAATCTGAATGCCCCTCCCCGAACTCCCGCCTGCTTTTAGCAGGTTAGTCTTAGTCTTACTGAACACTATAAGGCGATGGGTTGTAATAGTATTACCTGTGAGGTATTGCATAAGCCCCTCTTCCAAAACCATCTCCCCTACTCCCAGCAAGACTATCTGAAATTCCTCACACTGGATGCACTCATGAAGGTTGTTCTTAAGGAGCCATATATGATAACTATCAGGCCATTATGTTATAGAATGTATTGGGGGAGGTATTGAGGACAGTATAAGATGTCAGCTAACTGCCCCATTCCCTTAAGAATGCATGGTTGGAATGGATAGCAGGACTGGTGAGCTCTGTGGGGAGTCCAGGTAAGTCTGGCGATTAAGGCCGGGAGAACAGGCCTAAGTAGAACTCCATAGAGGCGGTCTGATTGATCCAGAGACAGCTGGGGATCCTAGGTGTCCAGATAGCACAATAGGATGTGGAAATTTGGGCACTGCAGATGAATATCTGAATAGTGATGGCAGTGGTAGCTAGAAACAGTCTTTCCTATGCCCTCTGTGACTATAGCATTTCCCCTAGTATCCTGGGATGGAAGGATAGAGGGATTTGGGTTATTTGCTTGAGTGTGTGTTTTTATAGCAACATAGTGATTTCATGCTCACAACCCAATCCACTCCCAGTTGATAGCTTTACTATATGAGGCTTTCATCACTCGTTATGAGATCTTGGCCAGATCTGTAGTCTGAGAGCCAGGCAAGCAAACCAGACCAAGCCTCTCGAATGATGTAGGCCCTTCTTACCAGATCAAACAGGCCACCAGCTCCTCAATGGCTGCAGGCCCCACATCTCAACTTATTTTAGCTGTGACAGGAAGTGCTTCCCTGAATATCTGTACTCGCTCACTCAGTGCTCTTGGGAAATGGGGTATACATTTGCCCTGCTCTAACCCACTGAGCTGTGCAGCTCAGACGACAAACATGCATATGCACACAGAGAATAGCACTGTCGCTCCTCCCACCTCTGACATGGCTGCATTGGCAACAACTGCAAGCCTGGCCCCCATAGGTGGGACTCTCAGTGATCCCAGTGATTTAGCTGCCAAAAGATGACCTAGATCCAACTGTCTGCCTCTTCCCCTGTCACCATCACTCTCCACCCCATCTGAGCTTACCTGGCCCCAGTTGGTTGCTTTTCCCGAACGGGCTCCAGAGAAGAGACATTAATGTTGCTTCTGGACAAACTCGGTTCTAGAATTTCTTCTTCCTGGCTATCCTCAGCCTCTTTTTTCTTCTTCTTACCAAAAAAGCTCTTAAGGGCTTTAAATTTGGATTTCTTCTTTCCTGGAAGTGAAAAGTGAAAATGAATCAGAGTGTGATGGTAGAAGGGAAGACGAGAGGAAACAGGGCCTTCATGACAGGAACAAGGACCATGATCCCACCCAGGTGGCCTGCAGAGCTTGGCCTCAACCCCAATGCTCACAGCACCATTCAACATTCATTTAATTAGTTGTCCCCTTAGTAACTCAGTAACAAAGTGTCTCAGTTACTGGTGAAAGCAGAAGCTTAGGCCACAGCTTGCGATCTTTGGGCAGCCTCTATTAAGGCCAAACTCACTAGGAATTAATTTGCCTCTCAATTTCAGCTATAAACATACACACTTCCTTCTTTGTCCTAAGAAGTTCACTCATGTGAAGCAATGATTGAGCCCATGAAAGCACTTGATACTCCCGTAATTTTACCCCAGTGGCTGGAGTCATTGCAATCCAATAGGAGAGCCAAGCTTCCACAGGTGAAAACCACTTCGGAACCCTTAGAAATCCCAGTCCAGGTGGGAGGTGTTACTTCCCAGCCTGCATGCTCAAAGGATGCAGACCCAAAGAGTGAGTGTGGTTGGTTGGTGCAGTCCAGGAACACTTCCTTGAGGAAGGAATTTATGAGCAAAGGAGATGGCCGGGAATCAAAAAGAAGAAAGGGCTACCCAGGCAAAGAAGCTGCCTGTGTAAAAGGCATGTCAAAATCAGATACTAAAGAATTTTTCAACGAGAGAGAGAGAGAGAGAGAGAGAGAGAGTGTGTGTGTGTGCGTGTGTGTGTGATGATGATCATTGTGTGTGTTCTTCAACTCTTGCCAATTGGTTTGGATTATCTACAGGGCTGCTGCCTTTTTTTGCACATGTAGCTAAATGTTAGTTTATTCCATCTATAATAATCACCAGGGCAGCAGTGAAGAATGTGAGCTTTAAATGCTTTTAAGGTGCTGTCTGTTTGGGATTTAGTTTCTTTTTCTTTTCTTTTCTTTTCTTTTTTTTTTTTTTTTTTTTTTTTTTTTCTTGAGGCAGAGCCTCACTCTATCACCCAGGCTGGAGTGCAATGGTTTGATCACAGCCCACTGCAACTTCCATCTCCTGGGCTCAAGCGAAACTTGCACCTCAGCGTCCCCAGTAGCTGGGACTATAGGCATAAACCACCACACCTGGCTAGTTTTTGTAACTTTTTGTAGAGATGAGGCTTCACCATGTTGCCCAGACTGTTCTCAAACTCGAACTCTTGGCCTTAAGTGATCCACCCACCTTGGCCTACCAAAGTGCTATGATTACAGGCATGAGCCACCATGCCAGGCCTCTTTAGTTTCTTAATAAGCACATATATCTTTATTGTGCTTATTAAGAAACTAAAGGGGAGAAGGGGGAGAAGGCTTGTGATACATTCTTCAGAGGGAAGGAATTAGCAATTAGTCATTTCATATGCAATAAGTACCAACTAAGGTATCTCACTCCAAGTCTCAACTGTCTGGTCTCCATAAGGCCTCATCAGCACAGCAATTCTGTGCTGGCAATGAAGGGCCCAGACAAGGGAGTTGGCAACGCAGCAGCCATCATGAAAGGCTTGATGGTATAATGGAAAGCACCACCCCAAGAGTCAGAAAATTCTGGAACCCTAGGCTTGAATCCACTATCAATTAGCTCTGTGACCTTGAGTAGGTCACTCAGCCTCTCTGGTACTCAGCAGGAAAATGAGAGAATTGCACCTGATCAGCATCTCCCAACATGTGTTCAGAGGGATGCTCATAAGGTTTGTTGCATGAAAAAGGGATTTGTAGTCCAGTTAATCTGGAAAATTCTGGATTAGACAAAGTTCAGTAGTCTGCTTTCCAACAAAACTTCTGTGAAACTCCAAAACGCTTATGTACATGGTGAAGTTCCAAGAAACCAGGCAACAATATTATTTTCCAATGTGTGTAAGCAGAATGTCTGGCCAAACACACTTTGGGAAATGCTGAACTAGAATTCCTTTAGCTCGGAAATGCTGTGACCTATTTGTGCACTGATTAATCCTGAGCCTGCCAGGCTAAAAGTTCCTAAACTTCAAGACCTGCCTTAAGTCCAGTTTCTCACCAATCAATGCAACTAATGCTTCTCTCTGTTCTCCGAACAACTAAAACTTGGCTGTTGGCATCACAAGTTCTGCATCTGAATGTTCTTAAGCCTGCTCACTCATTCATTTGTTCATTCATCTACTCAACAAATATTTATGAAGGTTAAGAACTTATCATGTTCTGGGTATCAGTGAGAGAACTAAGATACAGTTCCCTATGTCTTAGCTACTGCCCCCACCTTAAGGCTGTAGGCAGGCCCCTCTTAGCATCCCCCCTTAGCAACTAGCACAGTGCAAGGTGTGCAGTAATAGCTGTGTCCACTGGGGGATGAAGAATACCAACACAGCTTGTCACTTCCTTTGACTTGAGACGACTGAGCAGAGTCATCCTTCAGCAACCTATAATTTAAACACTGGCCCTTTTAGGGGTTGATGCAAATTATAAATGACATAGGTGAAGAGCTTAGCATGTGACCTGGCATTTAGTAAGTGCTCGATAAATGTGAACTAGTGTCAGCGATTCAATAATTACTTGCTTATTAGGGCCGGATTCAATTCTATCTGTGGTCATCAGAAGCAGCCCCGTATCTATAACTGAATAGTGAACTGTACAATATGCATAATTGGAGGCAGAAGCCAGCATGGAGTAGAGCAATGAAAGATCATAGGACTGTTTGCTTGGTAATTGCTGCTTAACTAATTTCTGTTTTGGATGACTTGGGCAATTTCTTGTCTACTAGAATGCACCTATATAGGGGCATGGTTGGGAAAACATGGCAATTCTACCTAAAGAGAGAAAGAATAAAAAATGAAAAAGCAATAGGAAACATATCTTTTCCCCAAAATCCCTTTTAAAATTTTTTCAGAAAAAAAAATTATTTCTATAATAATAAAATAATTAAGGCTGAGCACAGTGGCTCACATCTGTAATCCCAGCACTTTGGGAAGCCAAGGCAGGAGGATTGTTTGAGCTCATGAGTTCGAGGCCAGCCTGATCAATATAGCCAGACCTCATCTCTATCGAAAATTAAAAAAAAAAATTAGCTGGGGATGGTGGTGAGTGCCTGTACTCCCAGCTACTCAGGAGGCTGAGACAAGGGGGATTGCTTGAGCCCAGGAAGTTGAAGCTGGAGTGAGCTATGACAATACTCCCACCTGGGCAATAGAGCGACATCCTTCCACCTCTGCCTCCCAAAGTGCTAGGATTACAGGTGTGAGCTACTGTGCCTAGATGATTTATTGATTCTTGACAGGTGGATCTCATTCTGGCCTTCTGAAAGGGGAAGAACTTTATGCTCAGAAGATTTAGAAACACAGCAATTGTTACCTCTCTTGCTTCAAAATCCCTTAGCGGAAGGGAGGAAAGCACAGCTAGGGAATTTGGAGTTGCAAACCTGCTTCTCATAATCCAGCAAAGACAGAGAAGAGAGTCAGCAGCTAGTAGCTCCGTTTGCGATACAATCTATAAACACTGAATAACTGCATGAAAACATGTCTAATAAACTCTTTAGGTTGTAATAATGAATTCAACAAACATAATCATTATATGAGCAGAAAATTCTACATTAACACATTTTTATGTTCCTAAATTAGCAAAATGACTAGTGATGTTGGAACTATAACAGGTGCTAAAAGTTACCTATGCTTATGGTCCAATTTCTCCCCAATTTTCCATTCTTTTCTGGCCAGAATCAACAATTATTTTCCCACAAAGATTTAAAAATAGCTAAAGCAACACGTGTCTCTTTTAACCTTGGGCCCTAGAAGGAAAAGAATGTTTCCGTTCCATCCTGTAGGGCGGCTCTGAGTGTGGCGGTGCTTTGTTAGCTTCGTTAGCAGGGAGCTGGGGAGGCACAAAGAGATGATAATTGCCAAACATGGTGGGTTGGCTGCTATTGCTCGAGGTCAGCTGGATACGACCTTTGTGACAACCCACTGCCAGACATACAATGTCAGTAGCAAGGGTCTATGTCTTCAGCCAGCTTTCCATTAGGAGACCTCCCTAACCCAACTGCATCCAACACCCCCACCCCATCGCCCCAACTATCCCATGTATGGAGACAAGCCCTGGTCTCAGCCCTGGGAACGAGATACAAAGCTGGGTACTGTCCACATGCTGCGTTACTTTTGAAACGCTAATGGAACCTGAGATGGTTGCCATATATTCAAGTCCAAAAATTGGCCATTCAAGCTTTCTTTTTTAAAGTTGGGGGAGCACCTTTAAATTGCTGGCAGCTGAGCCCTCCACAGGCTGGTTTTCAAAAGCTACAGAAAGCACCAAGGGTAGAGAGAGCTAGACAACAGGTATGGTCAAAACTCACATTTGTATCCAGCAATGTTTATGTAGGTCACCTATACATTGGGTAATAATTCAAATTGGCCGAGTATGGTGGCAGGCACCTGCAGTTCCAGCTACTCGTGGGTAATAATTCAAATTGGCCGAGTATGGTGGCAGGCACCTGCAGTTCCAGCTACTCGGGAGGCTGAGGCAAAAGCCTATACATATGGCACCACAGGGGACAGCAGTTGCAGTCAGTGAGCTGCCAGCTGTCTGGACTTCTCCTATAACAAAGCTATTGATTTCCCTGTCCGATCCTAAAGACTGTGCACTCCCAAACAGCAAGTGGCTTTCAACATCCTCATCCAGTCAGGGTCTGCAGTGTGTCACGTGCCAGGAAACAGCTCATTGAAGCAGTTTCCCCCCCCCCCCACCCAGAGAAGAAAACACAGCTAAATCTAATAAAGAAATGTTTGCCTCTGGGTTGTATATTTACTTATCCACCATCCATGCAGGCAGCCCATCTGAAGTAATCTGAATGAGCTTTAAAAATGCATCACATAATGATGACCTTGTTCTCTTGCATTGCTGCTTGGAAAGAAAACATTTTCTTTGTTTTTCGAGATGGACTCTTGCTCTGTCACCCAGGCTGGAGTGCAGTGGTGTGATCTCAGCTCACTGCAACCTCCACCTCCCGGGTTCAAGTGATTCTTTTGCCTCAGCCTCCCGAGTAGCTGGAACTGCAGGTGCCTGCCACCATACTCGGCTAATTTTAAAAAATATTTTTAGTAGAGACAGGGGTTCCCCATGTTGGCCAGGCTGGTCTCGAATTCCTGATCTCAACTGATCCACCCACCTTAGCCTCCCAAAGTGCTGGGATTACAGGTGTGAACCACCACGCCCAGCTGGAAAGAAAACATTTCTAAACTTTCTTCCCTTTAACCTCCCAACACTCACTTTATTCTCCGGCCAGCCCTGACTAGTTCTAAAACCATACTCAAATATTCAGTTTTACCAAAAAAGCCCTTGAGAACAGAGAAAAGGCATTTCCTTACCACAATTCTTCATCAAAATGTACTGCACTGCCACCTTCTTTTGTAGGCATCTGCTTAGTTCATATCCAGAAAGATAGGTCAACTGGTTTGGTAGTTGGGTCTGCTTTGGTGAGGAGGCCTTTCACTAATTTATTTATTCATTCATTTATTAAATATTTTGGAGTGCCTAATCTCAATCTCTCTCTCTCTCTCTCTCTCTCTCTCTCTCTCTCTCTCACACACACACACACACACACACACACACACACCAGTGATAACAAAGAGATAAAGAAGACCCAAGCACTGCCATTAAGAATCCATGATCAGGTGTTCAGCATCCCCTGCCCCACATCATGTGTAAAGTCAGGCCCCTAGGAAGCCACAAGGAGGTTCCACTCTGTTTTTCCAAAGTTTTTTGTACCATACACCACGAAAGAAAACTCAGCAAAAGAGTGGAAGAACAACCCAATTAACTGTTAAATTCAATTCTGACTTCAAACTCAATGCTTCACATTCTATCCTATGATTTCTTATTTATTCATTTTAGTGTGTGTGTGTGTATATGTGTGTGTAAAGCTTATCATTGTTTAATGACGTTTGCCTCCCTTTCTAATTTTTCCATTCATAATCACCTATCACTCACAGATGGCGCCACAATTTAGGCAGTGGATACATGAGTAAGTTTTGCCAAAGAGAATTTCTGTAAACTGAATCCTATTTAACAGAAGCCTGTGGTGGCATCTTTTGTTTCTATCTCCTTTTACTCCTCAACAAATTAATCTCTTGCTTAGGTCTGAATTATTATCCACAGTAAAACCTCAGTTGAATTTGTCAGATCATGGTCTGTTCTGATTGTATTTTTCTCTAATGAGGCAGGAAAAGCCTTGGTAAGTAAAACCTGGTAGCCATTTTCAAGGAAGATTGCAGGACCTCAGACAAATCTTTGACTATCGGAGTTAGAAGTGACAAAGAAGAAATTAGAAAACTGAAAAGTAAACGTGACTGAGTTTAATGATCTGGGCTTGTTTTCTTATGTCTTGCTTCTTTGTCCTAAGAGCTAAATAAATACAGTAAACAAATCTAGTTCTGATTATCAAAGTTTTGTTGGGTTACTTACCCTCATCACCAGCCTCCAGAACATCCAGAGTGTCAGAAACTTCACTGAGTGATTCAGCCATAGTGGGATGACTAAAATAAAATACAAAGCAAAAAATCAGAAGATCATCATTTGATATTCAGGGTGTAATGCAATCCTATCACCCTACCCCTTATCCTTCAGTTATATTCTAAAAATAGTCTAGAAAACATATACAAATGGAATTGCCATTACAGAGAATTATCCTTCCTTTAAAAAAGACAATGATTTCATTTACATAAAATGTCCAGAATAGGCAAATACATAGACACAGAAAATGTCATGCTTAGGCCTGGGAGAATGGGTTTTATTTGAGGGGGGTGCGTAGTAAAGAGTACAAAGTTTCTTTTCTTTCTCTCTCTCTCTGTCTCTCTCTCTCTCTCTCTCTTTTTTTTTTTTTTTTTTGAGACAGCGTATTGCTCTGTTACTCAGGCTGGAGTGCAGTGGTGTGATCACAGCTTACTGCAGCCTCCACCTCCCAGGCTCAGGCAAAACTCCCACCTCAGTCTCCTAAGTAGTTGAAACTACAGGTGCATGGCACCATGCCCAACTAATTTTTGAACTTTTAATAGAGATAGAGTCTTGCTATGTTGAACTAGAACTCCTGGGCCCAAGCAATCCTCCCACCTTGGCCTCCCGAAGTCCTGGGATTACAGGCATGAGCCACTGTGCCCTGATAGGGTTTCTTTTTGAGATGATGAAAATGTTCAAAATTGATTGTGGTGATGATTGCACAAATTTGTGACTATATTAAAAAGCATTGAATTGTATACCTTAAATAGGTGACTTATATAGTATGTGAATTATATCTCAATAAAGCTGCTACCAAAAAAAAAAGACAAATGCAAAAAACCTGATCTATTGTTTTGTGTTGGGTCCCATTAGCTTTGGATGCCTATTACTATTCATGAGTGTGCCCAGGGAGACAAAATTGTTTTGATAAATATGCAGAGACATAAAGAAAAGACTGAAACATTTAACTGCATAAAAATTTCAGGCCAGGTACAGTGGCTCATGCTTGTAATCCCAGCTCTTCGGGGAGCAAAGGCAGGAGGATCACTTGACCCCAGGAGCTGGAGTTGAGGCTGGGCAACATAGCAAGACCTCATTTCTTAAAAAAAAAAAAAAAAAAAAAAAAAAAAAAAAAAAAAAAAAATTAATAGCTGGGAATGGTGGCATGTGTCTGTAGTCCCAGCTACTACTAGGGAGGCTGAAGTGGGAGGATCACTTGAACCCAGGAGACTGAGGCTGTAATCAGCCATGATCATGACATTGCACTCCAGTCTGAGTAACAGAGCTAGACTCTGTCTCAGAAAATAAAAAAAGTAAAACTTATGGCCAAAAAATAAGTCAATAAAAGAATGACAAACTAGGAAATAATACTAGCAACAAACATGACAGATACAGGGGCCAAATTTCTTAATTTATAAAGAGCTCATATAAATCAATAAAAGACAAACAACTTGGTCTAAAAGGGACAAAGAATACGAAACAGTTAACAGAAAAAGAAATACAAATAATCACATATGAACAGGCTCCATCCTTCTAATAATTAAAGACATAGAAATCAACATATCAAATGAATATTGTCATTTATCAGATTGTCAAAAACCTTAATTTGAATGATATCACATTGCTGACAAAGGTGGGAAAAATAGCGACTCTCATACACTCTGGAGTAAATAGTTCTAACTCTCTAAAGAGCAATTTGGTAGTATCTATCAAAATTTAAAATGCACATACCTTTTGATCCAGGAACATCACTTCTCAAACATTACCTTATAGATATTTAATGACACTTCACAGAACAATATACATACAAGAATGTGTATCAGCATTGTTTTAAATAGTTAAAAATGGGAAACACCCAAAGTGATCATGAAAAGGATAATTCTCCCATGACTCTATGTCATGCTTCTAAGGAAGCATGACGATTGATGATCAAACTTTTAGAAATCAATGCTGACATTATTTTTAGAGACAGGGCCTTTCTCTCTTGCCCAGGTTGGAGTGCAGTGGGACAATTATAGCTCACTGCAGCCTCAACCTCCTGGGCTGAAGCGATCCTCCCACCTCAGCCTCCATAGCAGCTGGGACTACAGGCACACTCTACCATGCCCAGCTAATTTTTTTTTTATTTTATTTTAATTTTTTATTTGGGGTCTCACTATGTCCCCAGGCTAGTCTTGGACTCAAGTGATCCTCCTGCCTTGGCCTCCCAAAGTGCTGGGATTACAGGCATGAGGCACTGTGCCTGGCCCAATGCCGACATTCTTGATGAAAGTTTGTGGGGGGTGGGGGGGGGAGCGCAGGGGAGATCTGATGAGTACCATAACCCAGAGAAAGAAAAAGTGTGCTATATTCATCCATGCCAGAAGGCTGTAGAAAGGCAAGCAGAGACTTTGCTCCTATGATTACTCTCCTTGAGGTCTTGCTGTAACTGAATGAACTATTGTAAAGTGGGGTTTAGTAGATTCTAGAGCCCCCTTGCCCGCTCCAGATTTGCACTCTTCCCAGACATAGCTATGTTGCCATTGCTGTTTCATGAGTGGGCTTTAGGCCCATCCTGTCCTGCTTTCTAGCTGTAAACCCCTGATGCATCTCCAGAGGTTGGGGGAGGGCGTGGGTAGTGACCACAGGCTCTAAGGCTAAGGAGAACTTGAGAGTTCACATAGCCAGATTGACTGTTCCAAACCACCATGAGAACTGACAAGGCTGTGCTATCAAGATTGCTTCAGACCCACTTACCAAGATGCCCTGTGGTTCCTCACAACATGTATTCTCCTTCACTGCCACAAGTAATAAATCCGATATGTTCAACTACAGGTATGTTCCTGGCTGGAAGGTATTGATACTTTAAGTCACTCAACCTTTATGAGTTAATATTACAATTCTGCCTAAAGATGACTGAGTCCCAGGCCCTCACAGTGATCCGTAATTATCCCCCTCCGCACACACACAGGCACATGCATACACACACCCTCTCCACTCCATAACCATGCCGCCTTTCGAGAGCCCACATCAATGCATTTATACACCAATACATTGTCCTAGAATGAACGGCTTTCCCTCTGGCATTCCTGTCTCTGCTAGTTTTCCAAGATCTGGAGATCTGGCAGGAGCAGAGGTAGGAAAATTCAACATCTGACCGGGCGCAGTGGCTCACACCTGTAACCCGAACACTTTGGAAGGCCAAGGTGGGTGGATCGCTTGAGCCCAGGGCTTCGAGACCAGCCTGGGCAACATGGCAAAGCCCAATCTCTACAAAAAATACAAAACAAATTAGCCAGACATGGTGGTGCATGCTTATAGTCCCAGCTACTCAGGAAGCTGAGGTGAGAGGATTGCTTGAGCCTGGGAGGTTGAGGCTGTAATGAGCCATGATCGTGCCACTGCACTCCAGCCAGGGTGACAGGGTGAGAACCTGTCTCATAAAAAAAAAAAAAAAAAAATTAAAGCTCTTAGGAAATTCAGAGGCCGAACAGGAGGAATTCATGTCACTGCTAAGTTCCCGGCCATCTTAATAAACACAGCAGCACCCCCCACCCCTGCCACTATAGAAGCCTTTTTAGACATTAACCAAAATGTCAGGCCATGGTAGGCTAACATTGCCCTTGACCTACCAGTGTCGGAGTAGAAGATAGAAAGGGAAAAAAAGAAAACTAAAGAGAAAAATATGAAAGAAGAGGGAGAACAGAGAAAGCGGGCATCTTGCCTGCATCTGAACTTTTTGAGCACTAATAGAATCATTGCATTTAACCCTTGAGCTTAGACTGTCCTGTCTGAAATTCTTTGTAGCATACTTGCCTTATTTCCTCAACCAAATCCTAAAAGCCCTGAGGCTTTTAGCAGACACTCTTTTGACAACACCACCATCAGCAATCCAACCGGACATGTGGAACTATCTCCCCTCCTAAACAACCCAGCAACTACAGCAAAACACACAATTTCCCCTTGCGTTCAAATCCTCTTGCTGTTACCATCCATTCCTCTGCATCTCTTTAAAGTAAAACTCTTTCAAGAGTTATCTATACTTACCGCCTCTATGCCCTCACTTTCTATTCTCATGAGCTCTCCAATCAGGCTTCCAAGCTGAACTGCTTCCAAGCCATTCCACCAACACTGCGCTTGTTGAATTCCCAGTTACTTAAACTTTCAGCAGCATCTGACGTGATTGGTCACGCCCTTCTTTTTGAATAATTTTATCACTTGCCTTCCAGAACACCGCACTCCCTTAATTTTCCTCCTACCTTATTGGCTGTTCCTTCTGGGTCGCCTTTGCTGGATCTCTCCCCCCTTTCTGATTTTGAAATGTAGCACTGCAGGGCTCTGACCTTGGCTCTCTTCTTTGGTCTAAAATAACTTCCTAGACCCTCACCATTAAATAGAAATGTTAACGTGAGCAGAATTGCAAGCCACATATTTTCAATTTTCTACATTTTTAACAAGAAAAAAAGGAAACAGGTGAAACTGCATTTAATAATATGCTTTATTTAACCCAATATACCCACCATATTATGATTATTTCAACAAATAATCCCTATAAAATAATATTTTTTAATATTCTTTTTGTTCACACTAAGCTGCCACATCAGCTGCATCAGCCCCCTGCTCCAAACCCCCCAGTGGCTTGCCATCAAGCTCAGAGTAAAATCCTAGCCCCTTACCATGGGCCTTACGTGAGGCAAGCCCACTCCCATGCTCCGCTGACCACTAATCCCACTACCCCGCTACTTCATCCCTTCACCTAGCCTCACTGGCCCTCCAGGAAATGCCCCCTTTCAATCCCAGAATCTTTGCATTTGCTGCTCTCTCTGCTTAGAAGCCTCTTTCCCCAGACAGTTGCATGGCTGGCTTCCTTGCAGCATTCAAGCATCCAGTGTTACTTCCCCCAGAGAGCACGTCCATGATCAGCCTAGTTAACATGCTCCCACTCTCCCTCCATCCCAGTATTCTTTATTAACATCTTCATAGCCCTCACTGCTACATAAAATTATGTTATGTTAATTTAATTACTAGTTTCTTTTCTGTCTCCTCAACTATAATTTAAATT